AGACAGGATAACAATGATAACGTAGACAGGTGAAAGATTTTATGTATACTCGTAGTTTATTGCTAACAACGCCTGCTTATGACGAACAGTATTGCAAACTGGAAATTTGTAACACCTTTTTCTTTGCACTTGTTGTCTACCTTTAAGCAGGAAAAAAGATTGAAGCTTTTTGTCTCGAAACAACTCGTAGGAATGTGGCATTATTTTATTCTGTTAATTGCGCACAGATATTAAAACTGAGGTACATAAATGAAAAAAAAATTACATTCCAAATTGCAGGAAAATCAATATTTTAATCAAGGCAAAAAAACTATGATAACCAAGTTTCTCATTTCTTACAGGCATAGCTTTGGAGTTAAGGGCTACGTACTCAAACCATAAAATTCAGTTCAACAGCAATATCGCAAAATAATTTTAAAATGAGCATATTTTTAGAATTTCCGATACGCAGTCTCGCGGGCTGGAGATAAAAATGTTTTTTTCTGTACAACGTTGCCATTATTCGCTTTGAAATCCTTGAGTTTGTTAATCACAAATCCGTTACAGTTTACAAAATATGAAATCGATAATAAAACAAATTCCAAATTTCAAATTTGGGCTTCCAGATGCCCATATTCGCATTAGGATTATGTTATTCAAAATTTGATGGCTCTAGGTACCGTTGTTTTATCACAAAGCGAGAAACATATATACATTAATGCAGATTCTTCATTATTTAATTTCTTCAAATATAATACAGGACGATAATATTCAGTGGCAACAGTTTGAAAAGTGAAACGGACATTCAGAGTGATTCGACGCAAAATCGCAAACGAAAACAATAGTCCTTCATGGACAAAGCCTTTTTGGACTTAAAAAAAAAAAAAAAAAAAAAAAAAAAAAAAAAAAATTGAAGGGTTTTAGATTTTAAATTACGGCCAAAGGGGCGCTCTTTTAAAGTTTTCTGCGTTACCTTTATTTATTAAATAATCGTGTTCTACGCACTCAAACCATAAAATTCAGTTCAACAGCAATATCGCAAATAAATTTAAAATGCGCATATCTTTAGAATTTCCAGTACAGAGACTCGCGCGTTGAAGATAACATTTATTCCCCCCGTACAGTGTTGCCATTGCTCCTTTGAAATCGTTTAGTTTTTTAATCAAAAATTCGTTGAAGTGTTACAAAATATGAAATCAATAATAAGATAAATTTCAAATTCAAATTAGGGCTTCCACATGCTCATATTCTATGGAAGATTATGTAATTCAAATTTTGATGGCTGTAAATACCATTGTTGTATCACAATGCGAGAAACATACATACATTCATGCAGATTTTTCATTATTTAATTTCTTTAAATATAATACAGGGCGATAATATTTGGTGGCAACAACTTGAAAAGTGATTCGTCGTTTATAGTTTTCAACGCAAAATGCCAAAACGAAATTAATAGTCCTTAAGGCCAAATTGCCCCTTTGGACTAATAAAAGAAGGAAAAGACTGAAAACTTTCAGATTTTACATTACGTCCAAACGTGTGTTTCTTTGACGTTTTGCGTGTTATCTTTATTAATTAAATATCATGTGCTTTGCACCTAAACCATAAATTAATTCAACAGCAATATCGCAAAATAATTTTAAAATGATCTTACCTTTAGGATTTCCAATAGATAGTCTCGCATGCTGGAGATAATTTTTTTTTTTTTTTTTTTTTCCGTACAGTGATGCCATTGCTCGCTTTGAAATCGTTGAAACTCAACGATTTCAATCAAAAATTCGTTAAAGTGTCACAAAATATGAAATCGATAATTAAACAAATTCCAAATTTGGGCTTCTAGATGACCGTATTCGGTAGAAGATTACGTTATTCAAAATTTGGTGGTTCTAGATACCGTTGTTTTATTCCAGTGCGAGAAACATACATACGTTAATAGAGAGTCTTCATTATTTAATTTCTTTAAATTAACACAGGGCGATAATATTTTATGGCGACAATTAGAAAAGTGAACCGACATTTATAGTGAACCAACACAAAATGCTAAAACGAAATTAATTGTCTTTCAGGACAAATTATCCCTTTGGACTAATAAAATAAAATTTTAATCGCTATAAATGTCAATCAAGCTGAATGAAAGGAAAAGTTAATTAATTAAATTTCTGACTCGAATTGTTGTTCTGAACACAGAAGAACGTATTCTTTCACGAAAATTTTGTATTAATTGATTTCCTTACTTTAACCCTTTGCGCGCGCGATATTATTTTTATAATTTTTTTAACTAAAAACTCTAGAAATTGAATATTATGGATCCTAGAGACAAATAAGATATGAATTAAAAAAATTCTACTCTTGCCCATTGTTTCTGTGGGGTGGTGGTCACACTGTGAAACCACCGCGCGTCTAGGACTTGAAACTTACCGAGGTAAGTAGGAAAAAAAAAACTTACCTTTCTCCGTGCGCGTTTCTAATAAATGACAAAATTTACGAATTTAAAACAAAATGCATGTAAGGAATTGCATAATATATAATATATATTTTTTTACATTATTTTACAAAGTAAATTATCAGAAAAAATTTTAAAATAAACATTTATGTAATTTTTCTATAGCAGTGAAAGTACCTACATAATAAGGACGTTTGGCTACATGGATTAAAAAACTCAGTACTATAAGGATAAAAAAATCTGATGTGTACACCACATGACTTCCTTGTACGGAATATTAAATTATACGCATTTTTCTTGCATTTTATTTAAACTTATTAGATTGAATTAAACCTACTTCGTCGACAGCGCATAAACCACAATAGAATAAATGCATTCTTTAAAATTCACTTTGTTTACCATAGCGACACTCTGGCGCTAGGTTTACTTAACAGTATTATATTTCATTCATATTATAACTCAGAATGCACAAAATGTATATTATTTAAAGAATTAGCTAATCGTTGCCACATGTTCTATTCAAATACTATAATAAAGCTAGAACTATGTATAAAAGAAATTAAGCAAACAAAACAGAAAAGAAACAGTATTTCACAGACGATTGAGTATTTCTTATTTAATTAATTCAGTTCTTCGCGAGAAGGCAAATATACGGAAAAACTCAAAATATCTATATTAAAAATTACGAAGTAAATCTCAAACGCTTATTTCCTCGAAAAAATTCCAGAAAGAATTAAGCATGATTTAATTGGCAATAATAAATGAATGCGTTATCTTTGTTGTTGCGAAGCTAAGTTTCTCTAGATTGGCAACAAATCCACTAGTCTCCTGTTTCAAATGTAAACATCAATGGCCGGCATTAAAAACAGGCTTAGCGGCAATTAAACAACTTTAAAATTGCTGATAATTCTAAAAATATTGCAGACAGATTTACTAAAGGCATGAAAATCCTTAACCGGAAGATAAAAACAACATAACTCAATCATTTTTAAAGCAAAAAAGGTAGAATTTACAAACATATAAGAGTAAAGAAACTGAGATCACTGAGCCGGGTAATAGAGTGGATATATTTATATACGTTTGGTGCGGCCGATTGCAACAAAAATACGAGGTGCACATCTACATGTTATTGCAGTCCTACATACAAAATAGTAGCTGTACATGTGAATAACAGGAGTCACAAAAATGATAAAAGGTTTACACCATATAAACTATATAAAGGACGCAAGCCTAACATTACTTATCTTAAAAGATTTGGATGTGAAGCATATGTTCATATAAGACGAGAAAAACGTAGAAAGATGGATCTAAAAGCTAAAAAAAGAATTATGATAGGCTATAGCATGAAGCGAAAAGCATATAAAATTTATATCGCTGAACTAAATAAAATTCAAGAAGTGAGAGATGTAAAATTTGATGAACAGAAACTTGGATCTCCTTTACTAAAAGAAAATTATTTAAATTTCGATGAAAATCAAATATTAGAAGAACTTATTATTTTTTATAAGGAACAAACTAATGAAAATGTAAATAATTCAGAAATAACTAACAGATACTATAACGAAGATAATACAACAGATGAAGAAGCTGAGAAAATTTTTGCCATCCAATAGTGATGATGAACACGACGATAACAATTCATTGGAAAAGCCAACCGAGTATCTGCAATACGTAAATGCAGAACCTGGAAATTGATGATCATGGAAATCCTTGTACAGAAAAAGACCAGCGCGAATTACGAAGCCCCCAGAAAAAATTAAAATATTATGTAGTATACAATACAAATGAAGGATTACCTAAGACGTATGATGAAGCTATAGACTCTGCTCAAAGTGAATTCTGGCTACAAGCAATGACAGAAGAATTGAGTTTCAATCGAGGCTAATGAAGTCTGGAGAATTAGTTGAAAGACCCATCGATAGAAAGTTATTAAAAACCGCTGGATATTCTCAAAAAAGGGGTGAAAAGGGTAATTTAGAAAACAATTTACAAAGCAAGACTAGTATAGAAACCAGATTATCAAAGAAAAGGAATTGATTATGAAGATGGATTTAGCCCAGTAATGAGACTTGCAACCTTTAGAAACATTACTATCGATTGCAGTTTACAAAAACTACAAAATAAGAATTTTTCGATGTAAAAACTGCATATTTAAATGGATACTTGGATAAACCAATTTACATGGAACAACCCACCTGGCTTTATATCAGATCCGAACAAAGTATATCTTGTAAACAAAAAGTATATATGGATTATCCCAATCAGGAAAATGCTGGTATGATGAATTATGTAATGTTCTTAAAGAAAAGAATTTAACCAGACTAAAGTCAGATCCGTGTGTTTATATTTATAAAGATAAGATCAAATATTTTATCATAGCAGTATATGTGGATGACTTAATGGTGATTGGAAATTCAAATTCTGAGATAAATGACATCATCTCTCAACTATCTAAATCGTTCGCATTACGAGAAGTCACTCAAACACAAAATTTTTAGGAATAGACATCCGGCAAGAATCTGGAAAACTTATACTCAGTCAAGAAAACTATATAACTAAAATCTTAAAAAACTTTGAAATGGATGAATGTAAACCTATCAAGACTCCAGGAATATTGAGTGAAAATCTTGATGACATAGCGTCTTCACCACTTGTGCCGAAGACAAAATATCAAGAAAACATTAGGTTCATTGATGTACTTAGCAACAGGCACAACGCCAGACTTAGCTTTTGCAGTAGTAATTTGTCAAAGATATAATCAAGATCCCAGAGAGAAACACTGGAAAGCTGTAAAGAGGATATTTTAGATATATTAAAAGGAACACAAAATACTTGTTTAGTGTATACTTCAGACAATGGGGAAATTAAATGCTACATCAGATGCAAGTTGGTGTACCACTGAAGATGGAAAATCATTTGAAGGTTATTTCATTAAATTAGGCAAAAAATTTCATAAATTGGAAGTGCAACAAACAAAGAATAGTTGCTCTATCTACAATGGAAGCTGAACTTTAGCATTCTGCGAATGTGCATGTGAAAGTTAAATGGTTACATCTTTTTACTTGAAGAATTGGGTCAAGATGATCTAATTGACAAACCAATAGGAATTAAAACAGACTGTCAAGCATTAATTGATTGGATTAAAAAAACCAAACAAAGTAGCAGTTCAAGGCACATTAATAGAAAATATTTCTTTGTTAAGGATGAATATGAAATGAATCAAATCATTCCTCAGTTGTATGTTCAAAATCAAGAAGCGGATATTTTAACAAAGTATCTGCCTAGAGTGAAATTAAAAGATGAACTATTAAAGTATGGACATGACTGACTGATTAAAATTATATCTTAAATACAAATAAGGGGGAATTGATAGTATTTGTTTATAAAGCATAATTTTAAGTTTTAATATTTTGGCAACATTGAAATTAAATTGTAAAAAGAATGAGTTAAAAATGTATCTGGAAGAGATTTTTTTATTATTATGGTTTTGGTAGAATGTGGTAAGATTTCTTATGTCTGATTTTCTTTAATAAAGTTTTCTTTTTGTATATTGCCATAATGTATTTTTGTTAGAAGTGGATGATTCTTTTGAGAATGTTATATATATGCCAATCTTAAATGACCAACAATCTGTAATTAAAAAAAAATAGCTTTTCATATAGTATTGATAAATATTTATTACGCATCATTGAGGGAAAAAAATTCATATAATAAATTCTCCTTAAAAATTTATTTGAAATTTAAGGTTAAAAATAACTGTGTAATTCACTGTAACAAAATCCATAAACCACATTTGGTGTTATTATCGCTCAAAAAAAGATGCAAAACGCGAAAATATGTAAATTCGTGTATATCTTAGAAAATTTTGAATAAAAATCTCTAATTTTTTGCAGGTATGCTTAGAAGTGCACCTACTTTAAGATGATCATGAAACTTTTATAGGTTATAATTAAAAATAGTTTAGAAAAATTTATAAAAATTATTTAAAAATACAAATTTTTAAAATAAATCATAAAAAATGGGTGAACTTTATTTGGAATGAACTTAAATTTCGAAATGCGAAAGGAAGAATCAAAAACGTTTCACAGAAAAGAGATATTAATAAATATATGCCAAATTCAATTAACATTGAGGGGCTAAAATTTTGAGAACTATTTTAAAAACTACTCGTGCAATTTTTACAAAACTTGGCAGTTTGGCATAATTTGAGTCGTAGAATCGAAATATGTAAAAAAATTGGTATGTTATTTCAGAAAAGTCCGATTTTGTGTCAAAATACCTATGTTAAAATAGTGCTATATATAAATCTAATATATATCCTAAGTCGCGCTTTCGAGACATGAATAACGCAATTTGAATTTCGTCGATCGCCCCAGTAGAACGGGAGCTATAGAACTGTCCTTTTTTTTTTTTTTTTTTTTTTTCGCTGTGTATATAGTACATATAAAGACCGCAGATTTTTTTGCTAGTTCTTTTGCATTATTATTAACTTACCTTATTTTCATAAAGGTTTTTATTATTTACAACATTTAATTTGGCAACACAAGATGATCACTTGTATATGTTTCTTTTAAAAAATAACAAATCTGACTTTGTAATACTTTTTCTGAGAATTCTATTATCCATGAAAATGGAAAGTAAATGAATGGCTTCGAAATAATTATCAGTAAGCATGTCTAAAATTTATGTTAATTTAATATTTTCAATACAAATTATGATATTGATTTCTTACATATTCTTGTACACGTTTTCTGAATGTATGACTACTTATCGTGGAACTTTTGACGTTAACATTTAAGTAAAACAAACGTAAGATCTCATGTAATATACATATTATTAAATTTGAGGAAAACGAAAACTAAATAATTTATCGTCTATTAAGTCGGGTACTCCATTTAAGGACTTTTAATTATCTTTTTTTAAATCAAATTCGTACTTTTAGTCATCAAACAACGGTTTATTTTTTAGTTATATGAGCGTATATGCACTGTTTTCCCCAAAAAGGATTGCAAAATGGATTTAAAATGGTTCCAGAAAACAATTTTATTTTTGGCATCTGTACGTACGTACTTATCTATGTATCTCGCATAACTCAAGAACGAGTAGCCGTAGAACGTTGAAATTTTGTATATGGGACTTCTTTAATATGTAGTTATGCACCTCCCTTTTTGGTACCGTGCATTTTTTTCTTTAAGGGTGATTGAATTATGTGGTTTTTTATGTTCCAGTTTAGGTTTTTAAAGCCTTTAGTTAATCTGCATGGAATAGTTGCAAAACTATCAACAGTTTAAAAGTTGTTTAAATGATACTAAACCTAACGAAGCCTCCATTTATTTACATTTGAAACTCAGTAGAATAGAGAATTAAAATATTGAATACCTTCAATGTCTTTTTGCAGAGTGGGACCAAAAGTAAACTTTCAGTTTTGTGCACTGAAAAATCTGCCTTCTTGTCCGCTGGCAGTGCTTGTTTTGCCGTAGAAACTCTGATCTTAGTTATAAAAAAAATTTTTTTAACTGTTTTAACTGTATTTGATCTTTTATGTTTTTCTGTATTTTATAATTTTTAATGAAGTTATTTTGAGTTTTTATGTATTTTTGCTTTCCCGCGATTTGAGAACTAAATTAACTGTGTGAGAAATATATCTCTGAGAAATTCGAGGAAATAAGTTTAAATGAAATGTAGCCAAAAATGTGTATAACAAATATAATAAACCATGCAAGGAAGTCATGTGGTGTCCATATCAGATTTTTATATTTATGTTTATATTTGAAAATACTGATTTTTCATGAAAATATTTTGTTTTTTATGATTTTTCATTCGTATTTTCCATCAAAATAATTTTATCCTTCATTCTCTTCAATTACTCTGTAATGAACTTGAAACAAATGACCAATCTTCAACTCGTTTTTTCGGCTACTGGCAAATTTGCATCACTGAAAAAGACGGATCACTATAACTCACTTTTATCCATTAATAAATTGGAGTTTAATTCCTTCTTTTATTAAAAAAGTAAATTTTGCTGTATTTTTAAAATTTTTATTTAAATATTTAATTATTTCACATAGACTACCACAGATTAATAACATGTTTAATCAAACAATAGCTGAGTGAATAAGACAGCTTTACAAATTCCAACAGTGGTTTTCAATGTTTCATAGAATCCCCCGGATTCTTGTAACTCTTTTAAAGGTTCCGCAAGTTAAAATCAAGTTTTAGAAATTATGAATAAAGATTTTGAATTTTGTTCAAAAATATTTGAATACCGTGACAGTCGCAAAACTAAACACCTGAACTAATTAAGTAAGTAATTTTTGTTTATATCTTTTGTTACTGTTGCTTGTAACATGAAGTATTATCGTAATCTGGATTGATTTGTTCTTTATGAGTAAAAGTATAACGATTTTCTTCGCATTTATCTCACAATATCGATGTATTTTCAATGATCTCTTAGCATTTACTTTTCTACAGATGATAGGGGTTCCGTCAAAAAAAAAAAAAAAAAAAAAAAAAAAAAAAAACTATAGTTTTGTGAGTTCCTTGAATGTGCACAATTTGAAAACCACTGCTGTACAGTGAGCCTCTGTATGATAATCACCCACAGTTCTAGATGATTTTAGTCTTCTGCTGTGGTTCTATTTAGATGGTGAGGTCTCTACCAAAAGAAATATAGTTTGAACTTCGTTGTTAAAATGGCTATCACGTTTGGTCGTTAGAATTAGCAAACTAATCGACTAATCTGTATTGCGCAGATTTCAAAAGTCGCGAAAAACTTATGTTGGTCACTTTACCAAGGAAGTATCACGTAGTTTTATGGGCTGCTCGAATCTACAAAGTTTGGAGACTACAGCTTATGATAATGTCTAAGAAAATTACCCAGAGTTCCACATGAATTTTGATCGTTTTTTGGAATTGTTGTACGATGCCGATATTGTTTAATGCTTACTTTCGGGCATGAAGTTGGTTTTAACGATTATTGAAGATTTTTGGTCCTTATTGGCTATAATCTTTCTTTTTTTTTAATATTTAATTAAAGCGCCGTATTTAATTGATTACCGCATTTAGTATTGTCACCAATACGTACGTATATGTTTCTGTAAAAGTCGTTAATCTCGTACAGTCAGCCTCAAGATTAGCTCCGATATTTACTTATGTTCTAAATAATGCTGGTCACTTTCAGAGATGGTCGCTTTAAAGAAGTAGTCGCATTAAAAAGATTCATTGTAGTTCGTCTTGATTCTTATTCGGATAAAGTGTTTTACTGCACATGTAGTAACCCAGTTTTCCTTAGAAAGATTAGTTTGGGCTTAGGTTATTTGAATATGGAAAAGCAAACGGGGCTATCTGCCTAAGAGGAAAGATGGCCTTCCTGGAGGAGTTTCTAAAGGTAATGGCTGGTATTCACCATGCATATGAAGAAGAGCATAATACCAGTCATGCAGCCAGTCCGCTCGCCTGTGATTAAACCAGGTCGAATTTCCAAAATTCAGAGGTTCTTAACCCCTCGGTCACTGGAGAGGCGGAACCATTTTCTATGATAGTGCTACAAATAGGCTGTTGAATATAATTTAACAGCCTCTATGAACAAAACTTTAACGAATACTCCCCATTAACTGCCACTTCTTGAAACAGCAGACCATCTAGTCCAGTGCCAGTGTGTCCAGTGCACTGCTATTTAGTGAACACTCTTTGAACAGCGGACAAAATCTTTATTCTATGAGCTGCCAGTAAGAGATTTGATTGTAACGCATATCTCCGATTTTAAGATGACATCGTTTCTAAGAAATATCTCATAATTTCAAATCCATCGGTAGAGAAAACGGTTTTGATTTTACGTAAATGAAATCAAATTTTGAACTAAATATATTAATTTTTTAATAGTCGACTATAATTTATTAACAACAATAGCACTCTTACTTAAATTATACGTAAAAATTTATTATTTCAGAACAATTAGTAATTTGGGGAGAATACACTGTGATTCCAGACCACTTTGGCTCTAAAGCGCAATTCATTTCACTTCACTAATGAAGTTTAAAATGGAAGGAAAGGAGCAAGGCTCTAATCAAATGCGAAACTTCTGTAGTGGCAACAATATTCTTAAGCTACATACTATTTAAAATGAACATAATTTCTGAGAATACAGGCACACAAACAAATAACAATATCCAAGAATCAGTATTTTGCACAAAATACTAAAATCTTTCTGAACCGAAGTGGTCGCTTTAAAAAGGGTTCACTATATTTTTATTAAAAGAATTTCTGTGAATTTCAAATAAGTTATTTAGATAAAAAGTACTTGCGAATTTCATATTTAGCTCTTTTAGAAACGCCTTTAAAGTCTCTTATTTCTAGTATCTTTCAGAATATACATTTAAAAATTATAACATTTTTGGTAGCTTACCTTTTTCCCCCAAGAAATCTTGTAATGAGATTGTACCCGTTAAATAAATTTACAATTACCGAGATTCTTTTAGTTTAATATCAATTTATAGGAAATCTGAATAAATGTAAGCAATTAGTCATTTTAGGAAAGTAAAATTTATAATATTTCAGTAAATTATAAATGTGTGCATTTCGAATTTATATATGAAACCTTTTCTTTAATTTTTCTTTTAGAGCAAAATTTAGAGCAAAATTTTATGTGCAGTAATTTTTTATAATATGATTATGAATATCACCAATCGAAATTAAAATTTTTAGAAGCATAATGCTGAATGAAAATTTGTAACACCATTTTTGTTTACTGATCGATTTGTTCAAAGGTGAATGAATACTTAATTTTACTTTCTATTTCCTTATAATCATAGAATGTGAAAAAAACCTCTAAGATGGGTATCTTCAACCGCAAAAAGGAGATAAATTATGTTGAAGAAGAAGAAGGGCTTTTCGAAACACAAGAAGATTCATCCGACAGTGACATACCCGATTTAACAGGTCTGTTTATCTAATTTCAGAAACATGCTACTAAATCTCAATTTACTATTTTACTTTTCTTTTCCCTTATTATTTTATTTATTTATTTTTAACATCTGAGAAAATTTGTTAACACAAATGTTTATTAGGAAAGGCTGGTTCTTGATAAAACAGAGAGCTTTAACCTATACACGTTGCGTAAAATCAAATCTTTTATTCTTTTTCGAATTGTAAACGTACATTGCTCACCAATTTAAAAAAAATTTAATCCATCTGTTTATAAAATGCATTTCTTATCTCCCATTCTAATTTCTAACTTTTTTCCTCTTTATAATGGCAGTAACCTAACTTGCCTTTCATGCTTCATTGCGGAAACACAGGAATTTTATCACAAATTCAAATCTGCAGCAACTTGTGCCACAATGTCATCTGTTGCTGTGTCCACAAATTAGTGAACTTGCATGATAGCTATTAAGCACAAAATTCACGTAATCTTTATGCACTATCGTGCATGGAGTTCCTCAGCCAGTACCAGTTTCACATTGCACCTCATTGAAGTATTGCTTCGATTTATCAGTATCAGGTTGGACACTTTTGTATGTTTCATTTCTTGTCTACCGCTACTTATTTCTTTCACTGCACTTTCATTTCCCATGCTGAAGGCCCTACTCCATTTAGGATACAGCTTCGCGTAGGAGCTTCTCATCACATACATCCACTATTTCGTCCGTGAATTTGCGCTGCTAAGGCTCCATGCAAACGGTGGTATAAATGTCATAGAAGGTGTACAGTCATAAGGCATAAAATTCGGAAGTTTCGATTACAACTGCAATACAGGGTCTAAGAACGTAGCCAATTAGAGAAGCTAAATTTGCGCATGCATGGATATGCCTACAGCTTTCCTGCTCAATAAGTTTCGCACGTTCGCTCTGATTGGTCGACTGTTATACCAAGTTGGCATAAAGTTGGAAACTTCGAACTTTATGCCAAAACCCCAAAATCAGTTTTTGTGACGTAGCAAAGTTTGGTTACCCAGCAACGCAGCTCGACTTAAACCAGTTATGACATTTATACCACCGGTCTAGGAAAGGAGCCTAATTGTCCCTTTTTCCGAAGAAACCGTACAGTCCATTTTTGGCCATATGCATCATTCTTCATTGCACCACATATTGCCACGATCTTTTGCATCGCGCTTCACATTATGATTCACTACTGCTCTCATACTGGGATTAGGTGGACTATCTTAACATCTTACGGAAGAATGTTGAATTCATACCAGCATCTGAAACAAACACTGCCATATCATTCAACAGTTTGTTATACTGGAATAGTGCAAAATTCTTATCGTCATGAGTACAAATCATTATCGAAATAATAAGCTTAAGAAATATGTATATTTATTCACTCATTGTCTTTGTTTAGGCATAGACCATTTTCTGTGTTTATGCTCCTTTTAAGCAAAGTGTAAAATAATTTTAACTCCGTGTTTAATGTCTGAAAAAATGTGTGTGTGTTTGTAATAAATGTGGCATAAGCTTGAAATATAGCAAATGATTCAAAGTGATTTTTATATTTCAAATTTATTTTCTTTAGATGCGTCGCTTTCTCTTCCATACTCCAAAATAATTGACCAATGTGTGGCATTTGACGATCCTAATCTGAAAAGGCTGCTTCCTAGTTGCCATCTCCGTCTTACTGTTCAGGACGTGTACATGAAAGGAAAGAAGATCTGGTTAGGTTCTTCATCTATCTCTTAAATGTTGTTATAATAGATTTTGGGGATTATTTCAATCAGTTTTTCACTTCGGAATTTCCTACTGCATCTTGTGATTCTCCATTTTCATTGTTATATGCAAAGTATTACAGAACTAATGAAACAATTTTAAAAAAGGTTATAGAGCACACAAAAACAAAGTTTTAATCATAGAATGCACTGTCTCAAGTTTACTGTTTAAATATCGGAGGGCACTTTCCTTTTTCCACTTACACCGTCCTTACAAAGAATTTGTAAGAATATGTAAGGAACTCTCTTACAAAGAATTAAGAGAGTTCCTTACATATTCTTTAGTCCTTCTGAGGAAGGGGATTTCTTAAAAACGAACTTAGGTTTTTGAGACTGGACAAAATATTAGTTTGTTTTGCAGTCGGAACGATTGCTTTGAAAGGAGATATAAATATTCATTATGAAATTGAAATTTTGTATTTTATGAAATCTTTTCCGATACTATAATAATATTTTTTGCTCATCACTTAAAAATGCGTATGATATTGTTTAGGTATTTATTAGAATTGGAGCACGGAAGTTTCAAGTGGTTCCTGAAGAAACGATTTCGAGAGGCCTTGTACTTGCATCATCAGCTCCAAATGCTCAGAGCACTTTGGACAATACAGTTGCCGGAAATAAGGTAGGCATTTCATTTTATTTAGTCTTTTTTAACTTCTCTGTAATAACTACTACGGAACGAGTGAAATCGCAAAAGGATTAAAAAAAAAAAAAAAAAAGACACGCCGAAGAACTAATGCTAAAAGAACTCATAATGTGCAGGATTAGAGTTTCGAAGGTTAAATAGAATCTCCTTCAGCTGTAAGAGTGAAAATGCCAAAAAAAGAAACATGCTTACATGAAAAGAAAAGAGAGAAATTTGAGAATATTCTTACTAAATAATAGAAAACGAAGCCTATTAGTGCATTTATGTGGCATTACACAAGAGATACCATATACAATTTACATATAATTTAACTAATATATATTAATATTTTAGTTAAGTATAATTTAACTAAAATATTAAACTAATATTTTAGTATACGTAAATATAAATAATATTGACATTTACTGAAAATTCGTAGTCTTCTCCAATTATATTTATACATGTATGTAGGACGTGTATCAATTTTATTTAAATAATCGGTGATCAGTCCTGTTTTCTGTTTCTTCTTTCTTATATTCCATGGATGTTTACTTCAAACTTTCTCATAACAATACATCGAACTATTTTCAAGATCTGACACCTCTTGCACAACACTTTTTCTCTCAATTTATGGAAACCATAAATTCATCTTTTTGGGGAGATTTTAAAAATAGCATCAAACTAATATCAAATAAATTAGAATTTTTTATATATACTCATATGTCTTCAAATAATCTTACGTTTTAAAAGGAATTTTTTCAATCCTTTTCATTATTATTGTAAAATTTAATATAAATCTTTTACTATTATTTATGTAAACTCTGTATATCAAAAAATTAAACTAAAAATATTTAAACACAATTTCTACTACTAATAATAACAATTAATATTGAATTAATAGTTGAGGAATAAAATAGCTAGCTTTATATTTATTTACATTAATCACCGCTAGATGGCAGCACATATCTTTCCACCGGATAGATTAATGTGCAAAGAAAAATGAAAGAGATTTTAATTTTGTGATTTGGACTTAGTGATTTCATTCAAACTGAACTTTACCGTTTAAATATCCAGTTTGGAATTTTATATGACATGTTGTGAATTAACTTAAAAAGTGCTCATGTGTTTGTAGGAAATAATATTAATTACACGGTAGTCCTTTGAAGTATAAGATTTCTCGACTGATACAATATTACGCGCAGGGCTTAAAATGCGCCGGAGCTGGTTCTAAGACTTTTCAGCTTTCAAAATATAATTCTAGCCGGAGTGCACCAGAGCTAAGCTCCGGAGCTATAGTGTTCAGTATTAGTCTAGTTCATGTAACCGCGATTAGCTTTAATACATAATGCACGCTAATATAGAAGTATAAGTGCATTCTTATTGCTTTCTTTTAACTCAAATCACGGAATAAAATATTATAAACTTCTAGCCATTAAAATTACTACAGCATTAAGGCACATTCGAGGCATTTGCGTTGCGACAGTTCGTATCCAATGACAGACTCAGAATTTAAACAAAGAAAACAAGACTACAAATACCACTTCTACTATTGCGCAGCCCTTTTTTTTTTTTTTTCCTACTCCGCTTCCTGCTACTTAGGCATAGTGTTTAGCCTCTGTAATTAACGCCTGCTACTAGCTATTGTCCATTGCTCTGAAAATGTAAGATGTATAAAACTGTGGGGTGCATAGCGAACTATAAATGATATTGTGTGAAATCTGTTTATCCGTATCAAGGCTTGCTCTATTACAAAAATAAAACTATGTGTTTAAATCAACGGTAATGCCTGCGAGTTTCTTCTTCTATTACGCATTCCATTCCATCTGTATGCCACCCACAGTTATAATAATCTCGGCCATAATAAAAAAAAAATTAGTGTTTTCTCTCCCTCGCATTCTAAATTTATTGTTACAATTAATAGAGGTCGTCTACAGAATTTATTACATATTACATTTACTAATGGATTATTGAGTATATTATCTCCTTTGGGGATGTTAGTAGAATTTTAGTTGAATGAAGTAACTTGTAAGCATTTAAAAATTAAAGAAGAAACTTATAAGCATGTAAAAATGAAGCTTGAAAATTTTTAAAAAGAAGCATTAAATATGAATAATGAAAAATTAAAAATGGAAACATTTAACAATGAAAGTAATCAATGAACCCAGTAATTGTCGTCATTGATCGGAAATTGGTTGACTTTTCAAGGAGAATAAACCAACCTCCGATCCATTTACAATAATTAACAAATGCGAAGGTGTTTTGTCTTTTACTCAAGTAAGAATTATAATGCAAAACTGGAAGTTGAGTTGAATTTAAGTAGGTAGATTTTAAGTTAATATATTATATAGAATTCATTATAAATGTGGCATTTCCGTTTAGTTAATAATTTTTTTAAACGTGAGGTATTATTGTTAGGATGAGCAGTAGTAATTTTTTCTCACTTGAATAAAGTGTCTCCCGACACCCTTCCCGACAGTGTTAATTTAATGTAATCTATATAAACGTAATAAACAGGATGCAGTCTTTGCGAAAAATTATTAAAAGTTGAAAAGATATTTACAGAAAATAAGGTACATTAAAATGTATAAAATGAAATAAACATAATATACATAAATGGCCAGAAGATGATTTAAATAACTTAAGTGCTTGCTAGTGTTAGGATGGAGACATTTCCTTTACCGTCTTAGTACCCAGAATGGAATTTTGAATTCGAACCAAGATGAAGAGTGTAGGATGGACGAATGAGTTACGTCAGTCGGGGACTTTGAGAATCTAATTTTTGAACGTGGGAGGGAAGCGACTGTGGAACTCTCTTTCGAGTGCAAGAGGCGTCTGTTGAAATTTTGACTTACTTCCTACTGACCAGACAAAGGAAATTAATTAATTGCTAGCTTTAATTGTAGGAGCGGAAAGAGGAAAAAAGTACAAGTAATCTTCATTGCTCAGGAGCTATTAAGCAGTCTTAGAATAAGGATATAGGCTCATTTTTTTAGTAACATCAATGAAAAGAACGCCAGAAACAACGATTTTTACATTATATACAATTATTTCAGTAATTACATTATTTACAAATCCTTTAACTGATAGTCATCCAACATATACCGCCGTTTCAAGTTTAGGAATAAATTTTCATATCTCTATCAGCCAAATGATTTTACAGAGTAATTAACGCCTGCTCTTTTAAGACAATGATTAATAAAGCGATTAGGTACTTCATTATTTTTGAGAATTTTAATAAGTAGCAGAACTTCGCATTGTAGATTTATTGTATCTGTACAAATATTTTTAATGCGTTGTATTTGATTTAATTACTAATAATTATTACTAATAACTCTCTTGGAAATATTTGAAATCCAATTTATTAATTTGTAAGTATTGAAATTAAAGTCGCGTGTTTTGACAAACAGTAGGATCTTTTTGTAGTTAATAACTTGAAGATCAAGATAGTTGATTATATTTTGTGAATTATTACTTTTATAAAGAGTAAGGCATTCTGGACAAATCTGCGAAATTTCAATCTTGTTAAAATTATTAAATGTAATAAGATCATCTATATATCTGTAAGTATGTGCGTAGTAAATTAAATCTTGTTGTTGTAAATTTTTTTGGAAGGTAAATTCTTTGTTGAATAAAAATGTATTACAGATGGAAGCACTAGAGTGCGCGCCCATTGGGATACCTTGAACTTGCTTAAAAAGTTGATTTTAAAATTTAATGTAGTTATGAAAAATAGTGCATTTGAGGAAGGCTTTCCATTTATTAACGTCTATAATTGTGAGCTTAGCAGGAAACAGTTTAGGCAGATCCAGAAGGCTAGTATAGATTTCTTCTAATGGAAGAGAGGTATATAAGTTTTCAAAGTCATAGCAGTTACACTGTTTGCATGAGAATGGTAAGAAGGTTCAAGCACATAAGCGATGCAGAAATAATTTAAGAATAATATTGCTGTTTATATGAATGCCATTGGCATATGGACCATCGGAGTCAGGTCCATATGCAATGAAATAGGCTTATGGAGTATACTTTAAGACGGCATATTAAGCGGTTAGGTAGATTTTAAATAGGAAAAAAATGAATTTTTTAAATTCTTTTATATTAAAAAATCTGAATGTTTTCCCCCGAGTATTGCAAAATAAACCGCTAGGAAAATTTCCCTGTAGAAGCAAAATTATGGTAAAAAACAGTTCTAAACTTTCGCCGTGTAAAGTGCAAGACAGCTTATTTTACATTTACAATCGGGGACCGCCCATTTTTGGAGTATTGTTTAAATGACTATTTGGTTTAGAGTAAAAACACCTGCTGTTTAAACTGTAGTGATTATTTCACTAAAGTTTAAAATTCTTTGGATTATATGATATATGTTTAAAGGTTAAATTTTAATTTATTTTTTTCACTGAAGTATTTAATTTTTTTCGCACTCAGTTTCAATTCTTTAAACAAAATAGAATTCTCTTTATTTAAGGTACACGATTCTAATTAGAATTTATTTTTTTCCCTTGCTTTTGGGAAGGGCCAGAATTTTTAGGTGAACTATTATAATTAAAATACGTTGAAATGGTACATGGGCTAATTCTGGATACAGAAAAGCAAGAATTTTTGTAGAAGAGAGATTTAGATTGATTTCAATCTTCCTTTCCCCTGAAGAAGTGGCGCTGAATTTGATTGAATTCCTCTTCTCTTGTGTCCTTTTTTCTTTAAATTTCATTAAAAATTTTTTTTGAATTGGGGTACTGATTGTTTTAAAAGTTTTGTTTTTTACGTTTATTAAATTCTTTGTTGCATTTATAGGATTATTTAAAATTAATTAATTATGAATTTCAAAAGTTTTGGGCTTTGTGAAACATTAGTTCTAAATTTCCTACTTTATATGTATATATATTGTTTTGCAGCCGATTGCAACCAAATAGAGAGGTGCACATCTACATGTCATAGCAGTCCTATATACAAATTTCAGCGTTCTGAGGCTACTCGTTTTTGAGTTATGCGAGATATCTCGCATAACGTACTACGTCTGTACAGACGTATGTACACACGTACGTACAGGCGTCACGAAACAAATCTCTTCCGAATGAATTTTAAATCCTTTCTGCATCGAGTTTTGGGAAAAAGAGTTCTTAAAAACTTTTAAATTGTTGATAATTCCACAGTTATTGCATGCAGGTTAACTAAAAACATAAAAATCTTAACCAGAACAACATAATACAATCATTTTTAAAGAAAAAAAGGCACACTTTACAAACATATAGGAATAAAGAGACTGAGCTCACTGAGCCGAGTAACAGAGTGAATATATATGAATATATATATTTGGGGCGGTCGATTGCACCCAAAATGCGAGGTGCACATCTACATGTTATAGCAGTTCTATGTACAAAATTTCAACGTTCTGAGGCTACTCGTTTTTGAGTCGTGCGAGATACAGAATGATCTCGCACGACATGATTCTGTACTCGTGAGGATGTACAGAAGCTACGAAAAAGATCTCTTCAGAATTCATTTTAAATCAGTTTTATAATTTTTTTTTTTTTTGGGGGTGGGGAAAGAATCCTTTAATCTGTCCTTACGTACAGATGTAACGCAAAAACATCGTTAAATTGCATTCGATAGCTCTCAAAATGGATATTTTCGTTGAAATATGATACCCGAAAATTTTTGCGATTACAATGCTTCGTTTACTTCGCACAAGGAAGTAAAAATCATTTCCTTGTTAAAGCAGCCACCGCACTACACTCTCACGACCTTTGAATTTGCACATTGCAGAATGGGTAATTCAGTTTCCAGTTTTAGCAACTAGGGCCGGTGACAGCTTCAGCAAGGAAGTAACGTGAAAAATATTTTCGAAATCTCTTGATGTCGCAAAACAAGTATTCACTGGCTTTGGTTTCGAAGCCAGTCCTGTCTTAGGTCTTAGATGACCGTTTATTCTTAAATAATGCACCAAAACAGTGGCGCTAAAACTGCATAGCTTTCCTCCCTTTTGTGGTTACCCAGCGAACCTAGTCAGGCGAAAATGTATGTGACATACAAAGAAAGACAACATCAAATAGGCCTCTAGCATATGTAAATGAGAAATACTTACAGAGTTCTTAAGTAGATTTATGTGATCACCTCAGTTTGCATACATTAAAGCACTTTATTTTCTGAAATCCGAATTTAGACATACGGCAATGTGACACCCAAGTTCGAGACAGATGGAAAAGAAAACAGCGAGACGCCGGGCATGTGTTTCTTACACGAACCATTTTGAGCTACTTTCCACCCCAATTACTTAACTATTAGACCTACAAACTTGCAATTTTGTATGTCTAATAGAGCCCCGTTTACAATAGTCTAATAGTGCACCGTGTCTAATAGAGCACCGTTACCTTGAACACCGTTTACACCGTTATGGAAAATGTAGAAATTGCTAATAAAAAGATAGCAATGCAGCGTAAATGCAACATTTCCACCGTTATGGAAAATGTAGAAATTGCTAATAAAAAGATACCAATGCAGCGTAAATGCAACATTTCCACCGTTTTGGAAAATGTAGAAATTGCTAATAAAAAGATACCAATGCAGCGTAAATGCAATATTTCCGCCGTTATGGAAAATGTAGAAATTGCTAATAAAAAGAAACCAGTGCAGCGTAAACGCAAGGGGAAAAAAAAAACTAAAGATCACGTATTTGTTTAGACGCTTTTTCACTTAAGCTTTATAAATAAGAATATAACCTTTAATTTAGCTTTTCAAAAATTAATAATATCATAACAACAACATAGTCTAAATAAGAATATAACCTTTAATTAATGATATCATAATAACAACGTACATAAATGTGAAAAAGGGGCCAAGTTCGGGAAAAACGACTTTCGGTGTAGATTCAGTGTAGACGGTGGGCGGGCAAGTTTTATTCCAGTTCCTTTAATCATAGCTGTAAAAATGCACAACATTCTTCAATTCATTTAAAAAAAAACTGTTTGTTACTTTCTTTGATATCGGATTTCTAACTTCTAACTGTAGAAGTCACATTTTTTTAATGTACTTTATTGATAAGTAAAATTGCCACTTTAGAAATCTGATGTCAAAAAAGTAATAAAATGTTTTTTAAATGAATTTCCTATAGTTATGATTAAAGATCTACTGTGCAATTTGCCATGCGTTAGATCTCAACTGTTTTGTCGGTGATATCGACTGCACCGAACCTCGTTTCTCCCGAACTTGGCCCCTTTTTCACATTTATGTTGTTGTATCTTCTGGGTAAATATTGCTCAAGTTAATTTGCACTGTAAATACCATAATATGTTTAATTGTTGGATGATGTGCTAAAAAATTTTCGGATATTATTTGTTCAGGTTAAGTTTTCATAAAGTCATTAAAGTTTTCATGGAACAGACTGAAATGAAGTACAAATGCTCTACTAAAGTATTTCAAATTGAAATGAAGCTTTCTTTCTTTTCTTTTCTTTTCTTTTTTCTTTAGGCTGCTATGGAGAATTACTTAAAGAGCCTTCTTAAAATTCCTTGTTTCAGAAATGCCCAGGATACTGTAAGTACATGGTTTTCTGGTACGCACTCTATTTAAAATGATACATAGTGCTTAAATATCGGTATAACTAAAGACGATAAAGCGCAAAATGTTGAAACACCCAAAATTATTCTTATGAGCTTAACATATTTTTCTACCCATGTAAAGTTATACAAACTGGTGGTATTAAAGTACCGTTTAACTCAGAGGCTGCCAAGTTCTACACATACGAGGAGCAATTCAAGATGCATGTTAAATCCATGGACAGCACAATAAGTTTAGTCAGCATCAAAAACTATAGCATAAAATAATATTTAATGTATACATATTTATTATGTCCTGATTTCCACAGGTTAATTATTTACCCAAAATACAAATCAACACTAATCATGTTCTTAGAAATTTCTCAATGAAGTTTTTGGACAAATAATTCTTTAATGCCTTTCATAATTAAACCGAATTAAGTCTTTTTTTAATTGAGAATTTCATTGAGCTTAGAAAATTTAAAAATAAATTGTTATTCATGTTAAATTTAAACTTTAAATTCTAAGTGGTATTCTACCCATTAATATTGAAATGTTGAGCAATATTGCTCAACGATGCAAAGGAAAGCATTTGAGGGCAATCCTCTTCAAATTTTCTTGACAGCAGCTTTCGACTTTCTTCTTTGCTGCATCCTTTTAACAGAAATCCTATCCAGTTATTGGCCATTCCGGTGCTATTCTTGAAGAGTATAAATTAATTTCTTTTATATATGGAAGTAAGAAGAATGAGAAGGTTGGTCTTGCTTTTGTTGTTTATGAAGATAAACAAGAAAGATAGTTCAAGCAGTACACAGTTAGTGACGAGTGCTCTGTTTTTCAGGCCGAGTTGCTATGCTTAAAACTTGCTATAAAATGGATTCCAAATTCTTGCGCGCCCACCAGCGGCCGAGCGGTAAAGTCGCTGAACACTGGTAGTTCGGTCCGAGGTTCGAATCCCGCGAACGGGCTGGCTGCATGGGCGTTTTCGTGGTTTTCCCCATGTGTAACGTGTATACGGGCCAGTTTCCCTTAGAAAGTCCTCCACGAAGGCATCCCTTCTCTTAGGCAGATAGCCCTAGCGTGCTTTGCCATAATTAAATACACACACACAAAATTCTTGCAGCAGTTTGAGATCAATACTCGTTTTAATATGTAGTGATTTTCATTCTTCGCTACAATTATTAGAGAAAATTAGTGTTTCAGAAAAGCTTGCTGTTGAAATTCAGGTTATTATTAAGATTTGCAAGCTCTTTGGTAGCGAAATTTGTTTTGGTTACGTTTGGGGACACTGTTGTTCTATCTAAGCTAACCCCGAGACTTCATATTAATCTAGATCTCCGTGTTCCTGTTTCTCACTGGAAGCGGTTTTACAGAAACCATGCTATCTGTATTTGAAACAGAGAATGCTTCACCGAAAGCACAATGGATCAAGAAGTTTTCCCCTAGAATTTTCACAGAATAAAAGTTTATCAGTTTTTAACAGATTTTAAAGTAACTTAATTTTTGACTGGACATGGCAATTTAAAGCGATCTGGACTTGCTTCAAGTGTTTTGTGCAGTTGCGGTAGCGGCGATGAAGACGTTAAATATATGTTTCTTGAATGCGTTCGTCATGTACAGCAGAGGATGATATTTCAGGCAGCTTTGAAACACCTGTCTGTATCTTGGTCGCCATTTTTTTTTTTTTTTTTTTTTTCTGAACTTTTTCTAGCTAAAGATACAAGTTGTGTCTTTCGGAACTTCATTCTCAAATTGGGTTATTGAGTTCTCTTTATTTTATTATTTTTTTTCTTTTACTTATCCTTTTTAATAATTTTTTCCCATTTGCAGAGCTATTGTATATTTTCTTACTTTTGTTAGAGCTATAACTTACTTGTGTAAGCCTCGTCGGTTTACACGAGGAGTTAAAATTAATCCCCACACAAAAAAAGTACAGGGGTATATTTGCAGCAACGCAATTTAAGATTAGAATTCAGGAGAAAGAGCCGAATATACATGAATATACATGGCGCGAACCAGAAGATCGGCGAAGGCCCTCAACCACGCTAAGAGAAAGAGCGCAGAATTACTTGAGATAGAGGGAATCGACAGTGTTCTAACCACATGGTCGACCGTTAGAAAACCGACCGTGATCTGATATGTCTGAAACTAACGCTTCCATCGCAATTTAAGATTAGGTAGATTAATGATAATGACAAAGCTGCCAAGGATCGTCTGTCTTAGAAGCACTGATTTCATGAAATTCTGTATAAAACTAAAGGGCTCATATTCATTTGCATAAAGTTAACAAATTCTTTATATTCATCGAACTCAACCACTAGGAATCGAACCTGGGAAAAATTACTAAAGTATTCACTAACACCTAGTGAACCAATTAAGGGGACTCATACACCTTAAAACCCATAAGATGTTCGAATAGGTGACTGTTGCAAGAATTGGAATAACTTACTTATTTTAAAAACAATTACTACCAACTTTTTACAGCTGAATACATAATATAGCTGCTTTCTGAAATAGTAATCAGAAAGTTTGTGTTGCCACAAATATTTTTATAATTTAATCCGCTTTGTGACAAAATATTGCGCCATGTTTCCAACTTGCGTGCACAGTTTAAAACATCCTGTTTCATAATTTAATTCCATATTTAATATATAGCTTTTATAATATTTGGAAACTACTGTGAACCTAAAATTCTAAAAATTTCATGTTAAATTTTTATTTTATTTTGAGTTTATAAAATGTATTTTATTAGCAAAATTTTTAATGTTTTCGTCCATAAAATTTTTCAGTATTAAAATAATCATCAGATTGTTGGTTCAGTTAGAAAATAGTGCCCATATAAAGAATTCCATCTAATTTCAAGTATGTACCATTAGCCATTTTTAAAAATATCATGCGCGCAAGGTGGAAACATGGCGAAATATTTTGTCACAAAGAGGATTAAGTTACAAAAATATTGTGGCAACACAAACTTTCTGGTTACTATTTTCCAAAGCAGCTATATTATGTAATCAGCTGTAAAAAGTTGGAAGTAATTGCTTTTAAAATAAATAAAATATTCCATTTCTTGCAACAGTCACATATTCGAAGATCATAAGGGGTTTAAGGTGTATGAGTCCCCTTAAGGTAAATCGTAAAAGCAATCGTCTTTATTCATTAAATTTCTATCTTACAAAAGTCTGTCGTTTTAACAAGTATCTCTGCGAAAATAACAGTTTATGATGACGGTGATAAATGCTATGCAATTTGCAAGATAATAACTTAACATGAAATCTTCTTTATGTATCTTTTTGGCGTTTAATGATTATCAAATGTTAATCTTTTTGTTCTTATTAATTATTTTGCACCTATTGACTTTATTCCAAAAAGCTGGAATTTCTGGAAATTGGACCGTTGTCTTTTGTAGAAGATTTGGGACCTAAAGGTAAAGAAGGATATGTCTGGAAGAGATGTTGTTATCAAGATACTGGATTCGGCTTATTTGACAGCTTATGCTTGAACGGTTGCACTTTCTGGAAGAAGCGGTATGATGACAAAATATCAAATATTGCATTCTATATATGATTGATAATTAAAATCCAATAAAATGAGAAAAATAGCTTTTCCTCATTCTAACATGCTGCCATAACATTGATTTGGTACATTGCTTTAAATATTTATCTCAAGTGCACCGCAATCAGATGCAGAGATTATACAAGCCAAATCGAAATTAGATTTATGCATGCTAGAGGATTAGCTGAAATAAATGTACTTTTCTTTTTACTTTATTTACACGCATCTGTTCTATGACCCGTATGACCCGAAATAATAATGACCCTTTTTTTTTTTTTTTTTTTTTTTTTTTTTTTGTTGTTGCTGTGCAAGAACAAACAGTGTAACAAAAAAAATTTAAAAAAAAAAAAAGCTTTTCCTTAAAATAACTTATTTTAAGAAGAACCATTGTTTTTTTATTTATTCTTTTTTGTTTAAAGGAACATATTGCTCAAGTTACGTAAAATTCAGCCTAATATTTATACGGAGAAAAATCTGAGTAACGAAAAAAAGCTTTTATTTCATAAGTTTTTTTAAATATGGTGAAAATAAAATTCCTAATTCATGCGCATACTGTTATGTGGATAAACTTGCTAATATACTATTTACTGATGTAAAAGATAATCAAATGCAATAATCATTTGACTAAACATTAGTTCAATCTTCATAAAAAGTTCTATAAATGTATATCACGACATTTCAGATCAAATAAAATTTGATAAGAAAAATTGTGCTGAAAATCACAAGGATTTCGGGGAATGGAATTTACACAATTCAAGTTTAATTTTTCCTTAACAAAAGTTGAATGTTAAAAACCGGGAGAGTTGCCAGTTATGTAAACGGCTCGTTTCTGTTGTGCCATTAAATGAAATTAGCTTGTTCAATACATGTCTTAAAATTCAGTGTCTTTTGAGCATGTTACAGAACTGACGAGTTTCGACTTCAAGCAAAAAGTAATAAAGAACCTTAATATCCATTTTCATACTATTCAATTGATTGTCTCCAACGTCTGGTAAAATCTTTGAAATAGTAATTTTCGGTACACTTAAACATCTTCTCTATGACGACATGATGAATATTAATCAGTTAAGATTCAAAAGTCATTGTACAACAGTGATGCAGTTATTTAAAAAATTTTTAACAATGACTAAGATCGATTACATTCCGCAGTCCTTTGTCTTGTTCTGCAAATTGTATTTGATTCACTATAGTGGTCAACTATCTAAGCCCTACACAATTCTAGTTATTCATTTAGTCTTTTTATCGTTGTTGATTTTTATAAAAGTAGGCATAACATCATTGTGCATAACAGTTCAGTTATGAAACGTTCATACTTCAGGAGGTTATCCTCAAGATCCACGTCTTGGCGAGGAGTTATCGAACACTGTCTCGCTTTACAAAAACAATAGTTTTTATTGATGATATCGTTGTCGTTCGAATCTGGGGTAAATTAAGAAGAAATTGTCTAATTGCAGTGATTTCAAACATATAGCACATGTGAAGAATAAAATATCATCATTATCTCTGAAGAAAATCTCATACCATAATTTATTCTAAAATCCGCCCAATAGTATGTAATGAGATACATTCATGGACCTTATAAGAAATAGACTAACCCAAACGGGTTTTCTCCCTCGTCTGAGGCGTTGTCGGCTGTCACCTTGATCACATCCGAAGAAGTAGGGACGACTTGCAGAAATTTAACATTGGTTGCCTATTGCAGCGTGTATAACTGTCAAGAAAAAGCTGGTTGTAGCGCCTCATTTCACAAATTAGAATTTCTACATATTTTTATTTTTGAAATTGAGATTGATTTTTAAAAATTTAGTATATTTATCAAGCATAATTAACGTTCCAAATAATTATAAAGCTATTGCATGCTTTCAGGGCTGGATATTTTTTTAGCTTTTCCTATGCTGTAAGAAATTTGTAACTACTGTAACTACTTCTTTTTAGAAATAATATTTTAAATCTGAACTAATAGAAAATTTCAAACAAGCAATTTTCTCTTGCAATTTTTATGCTTTTTATTGGTGTAAATAAGTAAAAAGTACTAAAATATTTAAAAACGAATTTTTAAAATTCTAAATTGTGCTGCTTTTTTAAAATTATAGATGAGTATTATAGCTCAATTTCTATAAAGCAATTTTATTTTAATTATATTTCATAATATATCATAGTGATAAACACTTTTGACTCCTTAAATCTTTTTATACATTTAATTCTAATATTAAAATTGTATTTAACCGTAATAATTAATTTTGCTTGTATTTTATTGTGATTATTTTTTAAATTTATTTTTAATTCTGCATAAGATTTTTTTATTTACTGTTAATTTAATTTATTAACCCAAAGTGGCGGTAGCCTAGAAAGGCTGTTAGTTTCGAAGCGGTATTTTGCGCTGTTTTACTATAAGTGTCCGTGTCTCCTTGCAAATTGTTGTTACCAAATATTATCGCCCTGTATTATATGTAAAGAAATTAAATAATGAAGAATCTGCGTATGTTTCTTGCACAGTGACAAAAACGACGGTATCTAGAGCCATCAAATTTTGAATAATGTAATCCTCGACCCGAACATGGGCATCTGGACGGCCGAATTTCGAATTTGTTTCAATCTATTTCATATTTTGTAAAACTTTAACGAATTCTTGATTAACAAACTCAACGAGCTCAGAGTGAGCACTGTACAAAATAACAGTTTTATCTCCAGTGCGGAAATTCTAAAGATATGCTGTTTTCAAATGTATGTGGTTTACGGGCGAAGAACATGATATTCAATAAATACGGGTAACACACAAAACTTTAAAAAAAGATTCCCTTTGGGCATAATATAAAATCTGAGTGCTTCTAGATTTTATTTTATCTTTTTCTTTTCCCTTCATTACGCTCAGAAAATTTTATGTTTCGAATTTTAAGAATTATTAAAATAACTAATCCACTTTAATGTTAATAATTTAATGATCATATAATCAAATAAATATGATCGTTTTGAATGTTACTATGGTTTGGAAAATCACTGCCTGAAAATGTTCATTAAATTTTTTAAAAAAATTGTCAGATCTTGTTTAATTTTACTTTATTCATTTCAAAGTATCACGTACTATCAATCTTATTTAATTTATTTAATTTTACTTTATTTTTACGCAAAATTAAGTTCATAAATTTTGTGCTTAGAGCTTTTAGCAAAGTAAAGAAGTTTGTACCAGAATTACGCGTGAAAAAAATGCGCGAAATGAGTAAAAAGTGCTTTAGAGATATATTAAATCCTATTTGGAAAAAACTGTGGCTTTCATAATCTTATCACTATACAATGTATCACATTTAATAATTAAAAAGAGTTATGTGATACAAACGCCATAGGTTTCAAATTTAAAGTAAACCAGATCGTCTTTACTCTTTCTTGCCGACATGTCGGTGACGCACGCCCCGCCCACTGGGTTAGTCTATCTCTTATAAGGCCCATGGATACATTCCGATGACATCAGAGATCACGTGACTTATGCGTAGCTAATGTAAACAAACAATGCAGATGACCTCTGAGATCACATGACTTATGTATAGCTTATGTAAACAACGAGGTCATTCTTCCTCTTCTTCTCTTGCGGAATGTATCTCCTAATACATCTTAAGATGCATTAAAGAATGTACCACATCTGTAGCAGATACTCATTATAAAAAGAATTACAAATGGGGATTTAACTCTCACTTTATGAAAATTTTATATTCTTGGAACAGAAAAGATGTTCAGTTACGGAAAAGACGGCCTCTTATGCATCAAATGTAAGAAAGAATTACTATATTGAATTAACCGCCCATTTTATTTGTCGATTATACAGTTATATTCTTTTTATTCGAATCTAAATTTTCTAACTGTACAAATTCTTCTAAATCATCTGTTACAAAATACGATTTATTATATTTTCATACCAATTATTTTAATAACTTTTTACCAGTTGTAAAATTTATAATTCTTATCCTTAAATTACCATTAGATTTTTTAAAAAAATTTTCAATTAAATCTGAGTATTTTTAGCACATATGTATACTACATACTCATTTAAAAGTTTCCGAAGTAAATTCATTAAAATATTTGTTTTTCCTGGTCCAGATTCCTCTAGAATTACAAGCCTGAAAGGTTGGATAGATATGAGAGGATTTTGACTTGGATCCATAATCATTTTTATTATTCATAATTTTTAATTTTTATGAGTTACGCAGAAAGAAATTTTGCATGGTGCAAATTGCATATTGCTATAAATGAACAAACGATATTGAAAAAGAAAGAACAAGCATACAAAAGGTTTTAGGGGTCATACAGTTACAAAAACGATATTAAAGAAGAAAAATCTGATATGGATACCACATGACTTTTTTGTGCGGCTTATTAAATTACACACTTCTTTTGCTGCACTTAATTTAAACTTATTTTTTCGAATTATTCTTATAATTCATTAAACTTATTTCCTTGAACCTATGTTTCAAGGTAAGCTGGAAATAAAGTCAAAAATTGTAAATTTTGAAATTAAATATTATGATCAATTTTCGTCGTACGTGAGTCAAATTTCGGGTATTTTTACTTTTTGTAAAATTGTATTAAATTTTTTATAAATAATTTCGGATATTTTTATTTGTATAAAGCGTTCCTAGGTAATATTCATAAAAACCGGGTGACCGCATTAAAAACTTAAATTTCGTTATTTTCCCAAAATTAATTAATTTTTTAAGGTATCTTGCCTACGTTAAAAAAAGATTTCGGCGAAAAAATTCGATTTTTTTTTGCCCAGTTTGAAAGCAATTTTGTATGATTTCGAAATGGTCATTTTTACGTTGTGATAATTAAGAGAAGTATGCACTTAACTGCACGAATGAAAGCAGAAATACGGAAGTGCCATTTAAAAGGTCAACTTAAAGGTAAACATGTGTTATTCTTTTTTTTTTTACTGTTTGTGTGTAAAATGTGCGAAAACATTTTATTTTAATTCTGGGTACTTTTTTTTTGTTCGGCAATAATTATTTGCCTTAATTCTTTGACTGGACGGCAACATTGCGGTTTTTAACTGGTTGGCAACATGCGATTAGGATAAAGACTATGTTTCTGGGTGCATATATAGCCGTTTAATTTTAATTCAGGGTATCTGGATTATTCCGGTGTGAACATTTAGGCATATCATTGAACAAGAAATGATAAAATTACTTTGGATTAATACAAAGAATAAAGAACTCGAAATTCATTCGTCGCTCATTCGAAATACCAAAAAAAAATTAAATCAAAAGAAAATCAAAATTACTTAAGTATAAAATATGGAGGGTGTACAATGTGGAGAATTTTAAGTGTGTAAATACAACAGAACATTTCTGTTAATGTGAAATCTTTAAATGCGTTTTCTGAAAAACTAATTTTTCTAGGTTTTACACACAGAAATGTAATTACTCAAAATGTTCTAAAGATTCTCTATTAAATTTCACTAAAATGTTTCTATATTATTTATAGGTTTTAAGCTACAATCTAAGTAAATTTTTAGTGTTTTAAAGTATTTCTATATAAAACGATAAGAAATATTTTCAAAACTGGTTTTTTTCAGGTAATATATATTTTAAATTTTAGAAAATCATATACATTTGTTCATAACACAGATAGTGTTGTTATATACAGTATAAAAAAATTGAAATATATGCTGTCAGGACAAATAATACGCATTAACGAAGTGTAAATTCTCCTAAAATTTGCATAAAATTGCAAGTTTCAAAATATAAAATATTCCTAAATTTACTATTTTCATGATTTGATATCATATTTAACTAAATAATATATATTTCATCAGAATTCTATGTTTTTAAAAAAAAGTGCTCCGAACATAAGCAGATATCTTAATTTGGCATTACTGAAACATGAATATTTTCGTCTTTTGAAACACGACGTTACGCCAAAAAAAAGTAGTTAAAAATGAATTCGGGAACGGTCAAAATGGATATTTCCGTCGATATATGATAATCGAAATTTTTCGCTATTGCAATACTTCCTTTTTCGTACAAGGAAGTAAAGAAGGGAAAAAAGAAATGCATTACAAAAGGTTTTATAACCAATAAAATTGCAACAAGCAAGGCTTAAATAATGAAGATAAGTTTGCAAAAGAAACTTAAATACTTAAAATCTGTTCAAAAATTTCATAAGCCTGTTTTTGATACAATAGAGGAAACTAGGATATGTTACGATTGAAATAAATACCAAGTCCATCAAAGCCAAGGAAAGGACTGAACATTTTTAACTTTTGATTTGAATAAAGATTTCGACATTAACGTTTTAGAAGAAAATAATTTAGATCAGTCTTCGGAACAATTTATTACTCTTAATAAAGGAAAAATTGTTCAAATGATTGAGAAAAACGAGCGATTTAGAAACAAAAATTAGGGAAAGAGGGCCAAATTAAACAACCAAATTTTTAAGTTTTCAGTTAAACTAAAAGTTTGACTGAAGCAAATATACTCTCTATGGTGGTCTTTTATTCTTTTTCTCTGACTACCTGACTAATTATATTTGGATTGTATTTTAGTCTAATATGCTTATGTATGAGATATGTTGTGAATAAAAATAAGGAAAATTTGGGCAACACGGTCTTTGTGCGAGAATCACATTTATTCTTTAAGTGTGATGTAATATTATTATTATTTTTTGTGATATTGCTGTTGAAATGAATTTTGTGGTTTAAGTGCGAATAACATGATATTTAATAAATAAAGGTAACACACAAAAACGTTAAGAAAAAAAAAACCTTTGGGAGTAATATAAAATCTGAAAAAACTTTCAAATTTTTTATTTTTATATTTTTCTATATTTTTCAATTTTTAATAAAGAAATTTCGAGGTTTTATGTATTTTTGAATTGTCTCGAAGTGAGAACTGAATTAATTGAATGAGAAATATATCTCTAATGAAATTCGAGGAAATAAATTTAAATGAAATGCAGCAAAAAGTGCGCATAATTTAATATTCCGTACAAGGAAGTTATGTGGTGTACATATGAGATTTTTAATGAGCAGCGTCCCGGCTTGAGATTTCCATTTGTTTCATGCATTTTTAGTGCCATTTTTGAAATTTTAAGAAGTAAATCAATGCTTTTTGTTTAAAAAAATGGACTAATGGGGTGCTTTATTTTTTTGCATTTTGAGTAATTTTTTAAAAATTTAATTTCATGTTTGAAATTTTAAGAAGTGTGAAAAAACTCAGTGTTTTATTTTAAAAAGGGTATTGAAAGGTCTCAAGTTCTTAAAAAAAAATTAAATGAATAGAAGTTTCTAGACTATCATATGGGGGTGTTCCGAGCTCCCCTACGTAGCAGTCATATGCGTTGTTTAATGATTATAATTCTTTCGCAAATTATAAAAAAATAATAAAGAATATTTATTATTTCTGTGAACTATTTTATTTTCTATATCCCTGACTTTTATACTTTGCGTGGACTAAGAAACTGTAATATTTATTATTTTTTACATTGCACAAACTCTGAAAGCCTTAGGGTATTAAAATTTACTTGCAATCTCTGTTTACTGTAATATGTCTTACATATGGATAAGATATTACTTCACTATATATGAACTTATTAATTCTTAATAATTTCTACAAGGTCTCTGAAATTTTTAAGAACAAACCCTTTAAACTTACATCGTGATGTTATTTTAACTATTGACTTTCGTGTACCATATTTCTATAATTTTATACCATGTTTTTATAAATTAAAAAATAAGTAGTGGGAAAACAACTCCTAATGACCTATAGTGTTGTACTGAAATCTCTACTCGCTATACTTAACAATGGCTCCTAATAGTAATTATTTTTAATTATTTCAACGCTTTTGTCTTAAAAGCGTTTTATTTCTTTTAAGTTTCCAACTGCATTCAAATTTTTGTTATGCTATTGATTCATCTTTATTTATTGTTATGCTATTGATTCATCTTTATTTAGGTGGCTCTTCCTCAAGGAAAATTTTACGGCTCTTATGAATAATACCAATGGACAGCTGGATGGTGTTCTGCTGTTAGATAGGGCTTTCAGAGTGTTCGTGGACAAGAGAGCAGCAAGGTCGAAAGATGGCATCATAATACAGAATTTGAACAAGTAACTCCAGAAAATTTTAATTTTTAACTATGAAGTAGTAAACAAATAATATGTAATATAAACTAAAACATTTCTAAGAGCATCACCCATTTTTTTTTTTTTTCTGAACTATTTTGGTCGTCTGCGAAGATGGTTGCCTTAGACTTAATTAGTATCAAAAATTCTTTATGCTCTAAGAAATACCAATTAATTTAAGAGGTGATCGTCTGCGGAAGATATCGCCATGAGGCATTCACTTAGTATATGTTACCAGCAAAGTAATGAAACGTATCATTGTATATAATGCCGAACTATTTGAGGCGAAGAATGAAATATGAGAATTATTACATGCTTTTCCTAAGCATTGTATAGAATACCTAGGTATTCTGTGGAATGACAAATTCTCTTTAGGCAAAGTATAAAAAAAAGCTTATGAATAAGGCTATTATTTAAAAGACGTTCTTTCTTCAAAAATACTAATGTTATTTTGAAAAACTACTGAAATGGTGCCATTAAAAAACTGTTATTCGAAATATGAAAAAAAAAAAGTATTGTGAGATGATCTTGATACAATATAATAAACTTGTATTTTCTATCTGGCTGATACAAGGAATCAGTAAGCTCTACGTTACAAAGGAAATTAAATTCAGAAACAATCGTAAGTTTTACAACAATGCCCCTTTTAACGCCTTTTTTTTTTTTTTTTTTCTGGCAATGCTCACTAAAGTGGTTGTACAGTTCAATATCATTACGTGCAACGTTTTTTTATTTGGTTGAAAGTTCTTTCAACATTCTGTCACGTCGTTCGTGTGCAGTACTTGATGCCAAATGAGTTTTCATGAAGAACGGGAAATAACTCAGAGTCCATGACGTACTACTGTATAGTACTGACGCTTTCCTTAACAGGATAAATGAATGTAATTTTGTTTTCCACAAACATTTTACATCTTAGCGATTCAGCAGTAGTTACATGGTTCCTTCTTAGTAGTCATTTTGGCCTTTTTACACCATTTATTAACTTCTGGTAAGTAGTTGGGTTCTTCGAAACGAATCGAAAATGTATTTCATATTTTGCCGGTTTGTCATTTGGCATTCTTTAGAACGCCTAGGAAACGTGTAAAATGTGAGTCGTTTCATACATTGCCGGCTAGTTTAAGGCATTATATACAATGTCCAGCATTCTATAGAATTCCGTATTTCAAACTTTTCGGTAACATATATATATAAATATCCATTATGCATTTTGATTATTTTCATAAATTAATAATTTTAGAATGATCTGCTTCTTAATTGAAGGAAACTGTACCTGCGATGCGAGAATGAACACCAGGCTGAAGACTGGGCCGCAGAAATCAACTACGTCTTGAACGGTTTTCAAGCCGATTTCGTCAGGATGAACAGTTATGGTTCTTATGCACCTTCACGTTCTCTATCCAAGTGCCGATGGTGAGTTAATTCCATTGATGTTTGTTTAGGATACGTTATGAATTGCTAATGATTTAAACTTTGCAAGCTGTTTGCTGAATTCCCAGTTTTCAGTGCTCTACTGTGAATGAAGGATTTGTTTGCCTTAAATCCTTCTTGCCAGCAATATTGTGATAAATGGTTTTGATGCTAAGAGTGTGAAAACAATCACAAACGTAGTGAAAACTTTGTTTCATTTGTTTTGAAACTTTTGTTTCATAAGATTCTGATCATTGAAATTGAAATTCCCTAGGATCGTGGATGGAGCCACTTATTTCGAGGCAGTTGCCGAAGTGCTGGAGAAGGCGCAGGAAGAGATTTTCATCACTGACTGGTGGTTGACTCCCGAAATTTACCTAAAAAGGCCCACAGTACAAGGTCATTACTGGCAACTTGATTACCTGCTCAGGAGGAAAGCAGTGAGTACATAAGTAGCAATGAAAGGCAAAAGAAAAATTTAAAATTCTTTTGTGTTTTTAATGGATGCAAATCCGTGATTGTGTTCCTAGCATACGGCGAATTACTTTTCCATTCATAAAAATTTATAGAACTTTGGAATTATTTTCATCCTTAAAATTAGGCGTCGGGGATCATGTTGTAAAAGTACAAATATAGTGAAATATATGAGCATCAGCCAACAGCGAGGGGGAGGGAGGAAGCAAAACGAGCATTCTTAATATATAAAAATCTTGCCCTTTGGAATCGAGTAAAAAATGTGTTTTTGTACTGATGCATGTATAGTATATGTCTAATATTCATTTTTTGTATTGATGCAATGCTGTATATAATAATCTACTTGAGAATCCCCAAAATTAAGATTTCATAAAAAATTCTTTATGCAATTATCTTCAATCATTACCCTGTTAGGAAACTTTTTCAGAACCCCATGGTGAAGTACTTATTATAAGATTAATATGCATGCAATCATCTTTATATGAAAATCATATTGTAATACCTTTGCTTAATTTTTTTTCAGATTGTTTAAGCATATGTTAGAATATCTGCATGTCAATAATAAGAATTTGAATGATATGTGATGAAGAACATGATTTAAAACATCGTCACGAATATCTGTTAATTTTCAGTCTTGAATGTAGTCGGTTAGGTCATCTAAAATCTATAAGCTGTAAATTTTGATGCTCATTGCTTAATTTAATAACAGTGGACCTTTCCTAGTGACCAGAAACCATAGATGACCACTTCTGAAAGTGTCCAGTATTTCTCAGAAAATAAATACCAATATCGAATATCATCTATCTAAGCTGAACGCCACCTAAAAAGCTGTATGTGCATTCATAAAATTAGATTGCTGCACATAAAATATTTTCTTCCTAGGAAAACCGCCCAAGGAAATTAAAAATTTCTCATTTCTAAGTTCGGAAAGAGTATGTAATGAATAAAATTTAGGCTGACTTCAATATATCAGTAACTGAAATTAGTTAATATTATTTTCAAGTAAAGAGTTTCGAAATTTGAAAATTTACGATTAATAGGGAAAAACGCATAATCGAGAAAAAATAAAATACATTAGGAACTAGAGTAGTTTTTTTTTTTTTTGTTAGACTCTTAAATTTGTTTCGCATTTATAACTTGTCCATTTACCTGCAAGAAACAGATCGTAAAATTGATAAACTGCTATTCTGCGTGTCCGCAAAAATCCTTATCCGGCGTTCATTTTTCACAATCGTTGATCATAAACATGTACTTCTGATTACAAAAATGTTTTAAATGACGCGAAGATTCATGTTTTTGTATTTCATAATTTTAAAAAATTAATTTTGCATAAAAAAACGAAATCCAATTTTTTATACATTTCTCCGGTCCCTACACTTATAGTTTTGAAAATTTGTACACAATAAGTTTAACTCCCGACGTTAACACAGCATTTCCAAATTCTGTTATAACTACTCTTCTAAGTTACATCTTTGAATGTGTTTTCGTTATGAATTAGTAAGTAGATTAGGATATCTTAAAATATCACAGTGCTGCAATTAGGTAAGCTAAATGCTTGAAAAAAAAACAAAGAGTAATATTATGAATCTATTCTAAGATGACCATTCTCGGTTTCAGATGATTTATTTTCTGCGGAAGTGATCATCCTTAGAGAAGTGATTTTCTGTACTAATATTTATTTGTTTCTCAGATACGTTTGCCGCATTTAGAACTAGTTGCCTAAGAAATGTGGTCATCTAGTAGAGGTTCACCATATTTAATTTTGTGAATTCCAAATCAGAAAGTTTTGAATCTGAAATTGGGGAAGGAGAAGCATTTTTAGCCCAAAAGTGACGTTAGTCCCTTATGGGATATTAGTCTAGAAACGGCATTATGCGTCGAAATGCCTTGTATCACTTCCCACCCCCGGGGGGCTCGACGTAGAGTACTCTGCGAAGTACTGGCTAGGATCTGTACCTAGGCAGTCTCGGCCACGGGGGTATAAAATTTTTGAACTTGGCGGTTCCCGATGGTCCATGGGGTAAGTCTATACTTGCTCTTTAGGGGCCGGGAGGTGTTAGTCCCCTCTACCAGGGTATTGGTAGCCAAATAGCAAATTGGACCATTGAGAGTCTGGTCACTGCTGCCCTTGGTATTCCATGTAAAGCCTAAGGAGAGGGGCATAGTGCTGGCAGGTAGCCTCAATCAACGACCAGTCATCGCTCCAAGTTGTCATCTCCCACCCCACCGTGGTCTCGGTCCAGCCGAGACGGTGGTCTTGACTGGTCTGTGTTTAGCAGCAGAGGGAACTTAAAATTGTTGGTGTCTCGGGAATGTGGGACCCCGGGCCCAGCAGCAGTGTTTGTCCATCCTTAGGGTGGTTTCTGACTGATTCTTCAGTCCCTGTAGTGCTATTAAGTTAGCGAGGCAGGTAGAAAGTTTAGTTAGTTGTATCACTTTTCAGACTGTTGCCACCAAATATTATCTCCTGTATCATATTTAAAGAAATTAAATAATGAATAATCTTGCATGAAAGTATGTATGCTCCTTGCATTGTGAAAAAACAAAGATACATAGAGCCACCAACTTTTGAATAACGTAGTCCACCACCCGAATATGGGTACCCTGAAGCTTGAATCTTGAATTTGTTTTATCTATTTAATATTTTGCAAAACTTTAACAAATTTTTGATTAACAAATTTAACGATTTCAGAGCGAACAATGGGGGAACCGTACCGAATAAAACATTTTATCTCCAGCGCGCGAGTCTGTGTATCGGAAATTCTAAAGATACGATGTTTTTTTTTTAATATTTTGTGATTTTGCTGTTGAATCGAATTTTATGTGGCGTAGTTTGCCAAGAACATGATGTTTAATAAATAAAATAAATACATAAAACGTTAACATTAAAACAAAAAAAAAGTTTTTTAAAGCCATTTAATAAGAAAACTAATCATTGATTTGACAAACTGAAAAAAGACTGAAAAAAAAAAAAAAAATCTATGCCAACAGTTAACGCAGTATCGGGAATTCTAAACGTATATATGCTGCTAATAATTTTTTTTTTAAATTTTGCTGTTGAATTGTATATGGCGTAAGGGCGTAGAAAAGAATGCTTAATAACAAAGCTAAAAAGACAATAAAGCAGGAGTGAGAGTATAACAGCACACTGTTAGACTGTGAGTTCAGCGGGAGAGTAAAAAATCTGAACAAAATTAACAATCGCCTCTTGGGCGACAGTTTAATTTGAAAACTTTTATTTTATTTATTTTTTTATTCCCTTTTAAATCGAGGAGTAATAATAAAAATTTTATTTCAGCGCAGTGGAGTTCGAATTTATATTTTGCTGTATAAGGAACTGGAATTAGCTTTGGGTATCAATAGCTTCCATTCCGAACAGAAACTAATTAGGATGCACAAGAACATCAAGGTGAGAGGGCATTTTCAATAACGATAAATCTGAAATTAATGATTGAAATAATAACATTTGATTTCATTCTTTTATCTCATGCTGATTATCTTTCTTGGTTTAATAACTACCAAAGGTCAAGAACTGTAATTCATATACAACATGTAGGCTGTTCCATCTAAAAATCTGTTTTCCTGCGAAGTTTCATGTAAAGGATAGCTTGCATGAAAAACATGGAAACGTATCGCATCTTAAAATAATAAAAAACACTGCTTAAAATAAAACAATTGATAAGTGTGCATCTTGAAGCTACATATCAAATAGAAAATTACAGATTGATATTTAGCTGATATATCACTTACGCGATGTCGGGTAATTTCGTGCTATCTAAACGTCTGTCAGAATACTTAGATAAGCTTTACCAAATAGCTAATCACAGCATACCATTTAAAAACTTAACAGTAATTAACATAATCGACTTGCAAGCAACGTCGGATTATTTCGTGCCGCCTCAACGCCACTCAGGATATTGAGATTAGGTTCGTTTTCCCTTTAGGTAGATTATTAGATAATTCTTAAACAGCAGATTCGATAACTAATTCATTTACCCTTATTCATTTTTCCTAGTACATAAATAGCTGTTTTGCAAAGCCAGCTGTGACAAATACCAACATTTTTAGAATGGCGTCAATCTCTAGATTGGATTGGAATTCTTAAACAGCAGATTCGATAACTAATTCATTTACCCTTATTCATTTTTCCTAGTACATAAATAGCTGTTTTGCAAAGCCAGCTGTGACAAATACCAACATTTTTAGAATGGCGTCAATCTCTAGATTGGATAAAATTCTAAAAATTCTTAGAACTAACATTTGTCGGTACTTTTCCGTTTCGCCGGCGCAAATCTTGCCAAGCAGACTTTATTGGCGAAAACACATCGTATACACATAAAAAATACTGACAAATGTTAGTTCTAAGAATTTTTTTTTTGAAGGTATAAACATTTTAATACCGTTTAAAAAAAAAAAAAAAAAAAAAAAAAAAAAAAAAAAAAAAAAACCACTAAATAAAAACAATCAATTTGTAAAAAGCATTAATATAAGAATTTACTATGCTTTCATCGTACAACATCCTGATTCGCCGATTCATATCACGTGACCCCAAGTGATCTCATCTCACGTAAACTACGCTACAAAAATCTAATTCTCTCGGTAATTAATTTCAAGTTAAATCTTAAATTGGAATACAAGTTTAAATGCAGGAATTATTTCAATTCTTAGGAATAGCATAAAACTGAACTATCTGGTAAAAATTCTATGTAATTGTATGCCAGTATTGAAAGAAACAACCAATCTGATGAGAAATGGCTGCGACTTGTTTTGAAAATGTAAAAGTTAAAGTAAAAGGTTACCAGCGAGGATATTTCGTTTGGCATCGGTTGTACCATTACTGGCGACTTTATCGCTTGCGGCGGCAAAACGGAAAAGTACCAAAAATACAATGGTTAACAAACGATGAAATGAAGCATCCCCTAGAGACCATCTTCCATTGATGACTATCTCTTAAAGTGACGAGTATTTCATGCAGCATAAATAGACATTGGCACTGAATATCATTCTCAGAATTATCTAGAACCGTGGATGCTCTTCGATCCGGTAGTTGTGGAAAATATACCCTTTTCATATTTTTAAGACTCACAGCATGTAATTTAATGATTTCAGCAGCATGTATTTCAGTTCATTCTAAATGCAATAAATATAGCAAATTCTGTCCATCCGTTTTAGGAAGACAACCCCTCTCAGTTCCAAGCTAATTCGGTCTTCTGCAGAGGTCTTCGCGTTAGGAAGGTCACTTTTCAGTGCTGTTGTTTATATACGTTTTTAGAAATACTAGTGACTTTCAAAGACGGTTGCTTATCGTAGGTTATTGGCACTAAAATATTCGCTGTATTTATGTTAGTATTTAGGATGTCAGAAAGTTATTATCACACTTGTTTAAAAAATAAGGAACTAATTGAAGCCTAACTGCAGCGACAATTTCAGAGTTTTATGCTTCTACATATACCCTTATTTCATTTACAGTGCTTCAGCCTATCTTTCAACTTTTTAGGCTTAGTCGTGATTACGAATTTCATTTTTACCAATGCTGTTATAAAGTAGTTTTAGAGGGCAGATTTTATTTAGCAAGAAACAAAAGAGTTCTCAAGCACCACAACTAATTTTTTTTTCTTTAAATACTAGGCATAATGATGGATGTTCTTTTATTATTCAGGTTCTTTGTCATCCCAATGTTAAAAAAAGGAATACTACTGTGGGCACATCATGAAAAGTTGGTCTGCGTGGACCAGACCTATGCCTTCGTTGGGGGACTTGACCTCTGTTATGGACGATGGGATGACTACCAACATAATTTTTTTTCTTTAAATACTAGGCATAATGGTGGATGTTCTTTTACTCTTCAGGTTCTTCGTCATCCCGATGTTAAAAAAGGAATACTACTGTGGGCACATCATGAAAAGTTGGTCTGCGTGGACCAGACCTATGCCTACGTTGGGGGACTTGACCTCTGTTATGGACGATGGGATGACTACCAACATAATTTTTTTTTCTTTAAATACTAGGCATAATGGTGGATGTTCTTTTACTCTTCAGGTTCTTCGTCATCCCGATGTTAAAAAAGGAATACTACTGTGGGCACATCATGAAAAGTTGGTCTGCGTGGACCAGACCTATGCCTTCGTTGGGGGACTTGACCTCTGTTATGGACGATGGGATGACTACCAACATAGGTAAGACAGTATAAAATCAGATGCCCATAATTTTTATATAGATAACTTATTCGGAATTCGTTTCTTATTATTTTGTTGACCACTTCACTACGAAGGTATGCTAAGAAGGCGAGAAACACCTTATAATTTATAGTCATTTAGGTATGTAACTAATCACTCCTACTTTATCTAGACGTTAGTGTAAATCTGAAATAAAAGCTAGCATTTTAAAATTCTAAAATTCGAGTGCTTTCCTGATTGGCTGTATGTAAAACAGTCTTTTAAACAACGCGATTGCTATTGTACAAAATGAAATGAAACTTAATTGCACAACACTTACTGCACACAAAATTAAACTGCTTTATTAGTTTTACGAACTATTTTTAAGAAATTTACTGTACATGCATAAATAAATAAATAAGCAAGTATATCTTATATATCTTTTATATAGTGATCTTATCTTATATATAAGCGGCTTAAGTGTTTGTCGCCGATAGTTTATTGGTTACTTGCGTAACTGTAAATTGTTTTATTCCCCGTGCAGTGCAGTGCGTGACGAATGTTATGAGAAAACTAAGCTGGAAAAATTAAAAATACAAGAGCACGTGCATTTAACATTTAATAAATAAATTTAGCATCTATATATAATGGAATTCGGAAATATGCAACCGGCAAAAACCGACAACGGCGAAAAAGCAGATAAAATGAAATAAATAAATATCTTTATTATACGCGGCGTAAGTGTCTGTTTGTCACCGATAGTTTATTGGTTGTTTGCGTAATTGTACTAGCCAATGGGGTGAAGTTGCCATGACACAGGGTTGCTGTTTCAATTGAGACGTAGACAATTTCCTGTAAAACTTGCCTTTGCTGTGACCATCCATAAGTCTCAGGGCCAAACGCTTAAGCGTGTTGGCATTTTTTTACCTGAGCCTGCATTTGGACACGGTCAGCTTTATGTTGCCTGTTCAATAGTTCGTGAAAGAACGGACGTAAAATTAAAAATAATGGATGGTCCTCTGCAAGGCGATCTTAAAAATGATGGAAAGATCTACACAAGAAATGTTGTGTACAAAGAGATCTTTGACATGTGAATTGACATTTTATTATTTATATCACCCTTATTGATTGAGCTAGCAATGGCTCTTAAGAAATGTACTGCCAGTGGTTTCCTTCTTTGCACTCTACTTTAAGCAATTAAGCAAGTAGAAGGAAGAAACCCAGCGGGGCAGTAAGCAAAGGGGCGTCCTCGCCGCCTGCCCTGGGTAATTGAGTTTGAATTAGCAGACACCTTTGCACAAATCATTTTAATTACAATTTATAAAATCTAGAACAGTTGTCATTTCGTATGACCACCGGGTTTTCTAGTACATATATATATATGTAATAAACACAAAATTTAGAAGAATTTATGCAGAATTTATTCGTAAACGAAGGAAAATTGTCTCCTGTACATTTATTTGTCTGCAATATCATGGATAGAAGACGTTATATCAATGTTTTCATGCTTTAACAGTCTTATATTCTGCGCTTTTCTGCACTTCTTTAATTTGTTATTTAGAATACGAAAATAAGTTATTTTTATCGTTCACAGGCTAAGTGATTTTGGAGATTTCGAAAAGAAACTGAAAATTCTACGGCACATGTCTACGACCTCTCCGAATGACATTTCGGCCAATCATAGAATTAGAAAAACTAGTTCCCTCCCTCATCTATCAGCAGAAGAGATTCAGGTAAATATGGGAACAGAAGGTTAGACTTTATATGTCACATTTTGACTTTATATGTCTTTTCTTATGTTTGTTTTTTCTGATCAGTCCCACGTTTGATTATTCCGCCGGCCTGGATGATCGGGGCTGTGCCCTTATGATAATGAAGATGATGATGAGGGGAACAGAAGTAAACCTGAACAAAATACGAAAATCCGGTGAAAATTCACCCAGTCGGGGGGGGGGGAATAGAGGACAGTTCTATGTCTCCCGAAGTCGGCCGATCGACGAAATTCAACTTGCTTTTTTATGTCTCGGAAGAGAGATTTAGGATATATATTAGATTTATATATAGTGTTGTTCCAATTGACAAAAATCACACTTTTTCTAAAGGAAGTATTGTAATCGCGAAAAATTTCGGGAATCAAATGTCAACGAAAATATCCATTTTGGCCGCTCTCGAATCCATTTGAACAATGCTTTGTGTGGCATCTGTATGTACGGACGGAATAAAGGACTCTTTTTACCAAAATGGATTGTAAAATGAATTCAGAAAAAGTTTTTTTTTCGTGACGTATGTATGTACGTACGTATGTATGTATCTCGTATAACTCAAAAACAAGTAGCATCAGAACATTGAAATTTTGTATATGCGACTGCTATAACAAGTAGTTGTGCAGCTCCCTTTTTTGTTTCAATTGGCTGCAAAAAAGTATATATATATCAGGTTTGTTACTCGGATGGGTGAGCTTAGTTTTTTTATTCTTATATGTTGGTAAACTGTGAATTTTTTGCTTTAAAAGTAAATGAATTATATTGTCCTTATGTTTCGGTTAAGGTTTTTAAGCCAAATTAATCTGCATGCAATAGCTGCAGAACTATCAACAGTTTAAAAGTTGTTTAAATGGTACTAAACCTAACGAAGCCTCTATTTGTTTACATTTGAAGCTCTTAAGTAGAACAGCGAATTAATCCAGTTTGTGCACCAACATCAGTGTCTTTTTGCCGAGTAGGAGCAAAAGTAAACTTTAATTTTGTGTACTCTAATCTCTAATGGTGTTTAATAAATATTTAATAATAATTTATGAAATACTGTTTTTTTATTTATAAAGAACATTAATAAAAACTTTCAAGACATTTTTGTTTTAATGTAAATTTTTACCTTCACCATTTTATCTTCTGTTATATTTAACTTTCTTTATACGCAATAAAATTTATTTAAAAATTTGAAAACAGTGTATCACATGTATCTAATATTTCTGAATACTTCAAGCAATACGCCAAAAATATTCCAAACAAAACTCGCTGTATTATAGGAATGTTTAACACCTGCAATGTTATCTGAAATATAATTTTTTTTTCTTATTTTCTGAGTGTAGGAAATGCCATAAATAAAAATAATTCTAAAGATGTTTTAGAGTGGCTCACATTTGTTTTCGAACACTTGTTGGGGTTTATTAACAAATATCCGTTACTAAAAATTAACAAAATAATTTTATTTTTCTTTCACATACACTTTTGATACACTTTGATTTTTTGAATAGCTTATTTTGAAACAAGCTATTCAAAAAATTTTTGGTAAAAAAATAATTAATTCAAAAAGCCAGACACTTAGAAAAACAGTTTAGAGTTGACAAAAACATGAACATGACGGGAGAAATTCAATATTTTGTTCGATATTCTTTAGCTAAAAATTACATTTGTACGGACTCAGCTAATTTCTTTCGTGTAAGACTATTCTTTTTTCATTCTTATGAAAGAATTGCTTTTAGTACAGCTTTTGGAGAAGTAAAATGTTTCCTTATTTTTTCCTCCGACTCACTCGATACATGTTCCACAGAATTTAAGTTTAATATGAAGAAATTTTAATAATTTCAGGACACTTGATTAATATCCACAAATGAACATTTAAAGCTGTATGTTTAGGATCGTTAGAGTATTTATACATTTATACTAATCCATATTATTTTCGATAAGCAGTAAATTTTTTTTTCCAAATATATCTCCAAACAATTAACCCTTTCTCCCTCCTGTGTAACAATAAGGTTTCGAATTCAATTCCTAACTTGGCTTTTTTTTTTCCTAACTTTTGATTTTTCTAAAAATATAATAATTTTCGAATGTGATCAAACTTTGCTTAATATAGATTTTGAGAACATTAGGCGATTTTCGTTGTTTTCTTGCTGACGAAGAATTTCCTTTTTACTGATCACCCATTATATTCGTATTCCCTAAATGGATCTTCTAAACGATTCAGGGTTAACTTTTATTGCAAACCGTTTTAAATCTGCTGGACATTTCTTCAATACTAATTTTTGGGTCTTGTTTGATTTTTCATGGAATAAATGGGATTTCTCAGTGTTATCTTGGAATGCTGTTCAGACTTCAGTATATTTTCAACAGTTCATCGCAGTTTTCTTTGCTTTTTAATGTTTTCTTTTTTAGTTAACCGCTTTATATCTTAAAACGATGAATTATTAAATTTCTAACAGAACTGGTCATTCATTTGTAGGATCTTCCCATGTTCACTTTCGATATGGAGCTGGTAATATATTTTATTGAATAAGATTCCTTTGCATTTAAAATAAAAAATTAAAAAAAAATTACCTACCAAAATATCTCAATAAAAATTTAGAATTTCCGAATCATTATGTAAGTTACAAACACTTTTTGAAAAAAATATTTTATTGCAAGGAATATTTTGATGATATTCATTTTAAAGCAAGCAATGTTTAAAATAGAGGAAAAATAATATATTAGATATAAGTTTGAAGTCTAAGTTTCAATATTTAGTTCAAGATCCATGCAAATAAATTTCAAACATACAAATGTCCGAAAATAAATGTGAGCCACTCTATGTCCAAAGATGTTCTGCACCATTAACTGCATAATAATATATTTTTAAACAAACTGTTTTTTATATTTGAAAGGCCGCTAATATTATCACCCAAAAACCCTTTTTTCGAAGCATGATATATTTTTATATAAATATAAGATTTAAAATAATCTTTTCTTTTTAAAGTTAAATTGTGATATTAACATTCAAACCTATAACGATCGAATTAATCAGTTAAATTACAAAAGATCGAAGGTTATACAAAAATCACCCACACCATATTGATTCGAAAGCCAACGATAGAGCGATCTTTTTAAATAAATTTAAGAACATAAATTTCCAAAAATTAAGCTAATTTTTTATATTAAAACGCATTTTACTATGTAGCATATTTTAGTAACCATTAATGTTGCGTTTACTGTTACATTAGAATTCATTAAAATTTTTCTTCTAAAACAACTTATAAAAGAATTTAAAAGTGATCCTTTTCTGTGCACAATTTGCTAATTTTATATCAAACAAGCTTTTAACATTTCCTCTTTACGTTGTAAGATTCTCACTCGTGTATTTCTCAGTTACTGTAGAAAGTGACGAATCGTAAGAACTAGTTAGCGAATAATCGCTTAAGCTCGCGTAACAAGAAACAACAAGAAGGAAGGGTAACTAACCCTTTATTATTCCAATAAGATTTAACAAAACTCCGTCTTGGAGTGTACAATCCAAGCCGACACTTGGGCTTGAACTTAAGAGACTAAAAATTAAACTAAAACTAAGATTAACTAAAGAAATATAGCCGAAGCTATCACGATTCTAATCGAGTTGGCCCCTTAACTCTATTTGACTACGAAGCTTATCAAGGGCTCGAGTACGGCCGAGCGTAATAACAGCTTTGAGAGAGAGAGTAGCCAAAAGGCAGACGCGCGTAAATCAGAAACTCTGATTCTCTCTAACTCTGCAAGTAGACTTCGCGGTTTAAATACCGCTCCTCCTCATTAAGTATTCGGAAAGATTCCGAAACTACGTTCTGGCCGGAAGTAGTAAGTTGAAGTTAAGAATTTGACAGGAAAGGAGCTTTAACTTGAAATTTAACTGTTAATAAAATTAACATAATCCTTACAACGTCAACTCCGCAGAAAAGTACAAAATAAGTGAGTTGATCTAACGGATGACAGTCTAAGTTTAGGAAGAGAATATTAGAAATTCAACCATTGGAGCTGTATCTTTCATGTACCTCCCAAATGGATAACTACTCTGGTTGTCGGTGAGTTTCTAGTTTAATTAGCTTAGAAATATGCATTTGGAAATCGCGCATAAATTACGTTAGTTGATTATTTAATATGGCAAAGCATATAGCAGCTATCTCCCTAAGCGGAAGAATACCTTCATGAAGGTCAATTATTAGGCAAATTATTTTCTAAGGCAAATTATCTCGTATTTAAGTTGCACAGGGAGAGAGTCACAAAAACCAACCATGAAACTATCTCGTTCGCTCAAATTGGACTTCGGTACAAATTACTAGCATTCAGGAGGCCTTGAGTCGCTTAAATTAGGAGCCAGATTGTTAGTTGTTAATTCACCATTTGATTTGTGAATATTTAAAATATTGTAACATTCTCAGGCGCAAAAAGCAAAGTCTAAGTTTTGTTAACGTACTGGTTTTTAAAGTACCAAACCGTAAGGCAAATGTATGTTCAGTCACATTTGCTTTTATTGTATTCAGTCACTTTTCTTGGAATCTAAGCTAAAGATGGGCAATTATTTTGCTGCGTCGTTCACCCTGGAAAGATTAAATAGGTGTCTAGATTAAGTGACCTTAGGTATATTTTACGAGTTGAGATCTCAAAACAATTTTTCTGTCGATTTTTATCAATCTGCAGTTTTAAATATTTGGCTGGGTAGATTACTTTTGCATGACCGAGAATTAAACAGATGAATTTTAATCTCATGTTATTCAGGTATTCAAAACGCGTTGTATTGCACAATAATGCATCTATCCGCTTGTCAGTAGACACTTCGCAGAACCTCCCTGTCCCGAAAATTAAGTATGTGTGTTCAGTCATTTTACATTTTCACTAGTTTAATCTATTTATGATTATTTTAGCTTCCCCAAAACTAAAGCACTCTTTCAAAGAAAAGTTTTTGTGACATACAAAAGAGCCAGAATGAATGCGAGATTCTACTCTTAGAGAACTGCCAATAAACAATCCTCTAAACGCATTTGCTTTAATTACTTTTCGCATTTGCATTGAAAGACAGAAAGTTGCGTTAGCAGAAATTCTGCTTAAGTAAACGCTCTATTTTTGTAATACACTCCGATTAATGAAGAGTTGTAGAACGAGAGATATAAAAGAACTGGCCCCCCTTCCTTTTTCACTTGGTATTCATAATAATCACCATTTAAAATAGTCATTTACTTTTCAGAAGTTTAGTGTATTATCATTTTTCCATATCATTGCAAAATTTTGATCTCTGAACTACTTTTTCAGATCGCGGAAAGCAGTACAAAGCCCAGTCAAATACCGAAATTCAAAACGATTGTCAGAAAACTGCAAGTTGCCAAAGTAAGTTAATTGCACTGTTTACCCAAACTTTTACACTTTCCGAATATAAGATTCTTACGAATGTTATAGATTGTAAGATCAAAATGCTTTACTAATTTAAAAAAAACTAATTTTTAAGTTATTTTTAGCTAGCTTCCTTATGAAATAAGTGACTGTTAGGAAGTTTAATATTGCAGTTAACAAAGCATTAACTAAAACAGTAATTCTAGGGCGGTATCAAAGGTTCCAGATGGTTTAGGCATCCTGTGGAAGTAGTCCTGTTAGAAAGATAATGATCTAAATCTAGATTTCTGGATCTAATAGGATGTTGTTGATGCTTTTAGATCAACAACATCCCAAAACGAAGAGTTCACTTTATTTACACAGATACAGTGGAACCTCGCAGGGCTATAACCCTCCTAAGAAGATTTGAAAAGTACGAGAAATAATGATGTTGAGAACGTAAACAACTGTCCTGAATATCATCCACAAGCTTGTTCTCTAAGACGAGTTATTCCAGAAAAGATCGAAATCTTCTGGAACCCCATGTAGCTTTAAGAATGTTTCTTTTGCATATATAGTATGCAAATATTTGTATACCTGTTAAAGATACTATAGGGAAAAGAATCAGCAGAAGATGCGTACGCTAATTCTTGTTGCTGTAGTATCTTTAACATTTGTTCTTCGGTAGGTCAGTTTTGTTACAACTAATTTGTATATCTGTTGATGTAAGCTTCTTTTAGTTTGCTATGCTTTAACTTGCTCTCTTGCAGAGATAGTGAACTGGGCATAATTTTCTACCGTCGGTTTTCCAGTACTGAGATTAGTGAGGAAAGAAAGGAAAATACACTAATAAAGACGGTATTCGCTGTAAATTTACATTTTGTACTTGTCGAAGAACTGAAAAATGACGTTAGGAAGCTTTACAGTATAAGCCAGCAGCGGACTTGAACAAAATGCATACTTCTTTTTAATACTCTGTGCCTTTGAGATTGCTATTCCTTTCTGTTTGAATCGTGAATTTCTTCTACTTTCTGGTTCTGCGCTTAAGTGTCTTCCGTTCCTGCCATGGAGCCGGTATAAATTACTGGGGTGCTGTTCTCTTAAAGGCCCTGCTTCAGGCCCTTTTCTTAAATGAGATATTAAGTATGTAAATAAAATGCATTAAGTAAAAAATTAATTATTAGTATGTGTTAAGTAATATATATGTTAGGTAAATAAGATATTAAGAAGTTTGACTCGAGCGCCAGCTCTCTTTTCCATATGTAGAATACACAAGATAAAATAACTGACAAGTAAAAAAGACACTAAAATAGCAAAACGGGAGTCGTAGAAGTAGTGCCTATATGATATTCCTACACAGAACCAGAGAAAAGCAGTTGCAATAAAAAACTTTACCTACCAATGTGGCCATTTAAGGACAAAGTTGAAGTATCGAGGACTGTTTCATGCCAACAAAAGAGTTATTCTTAGTAAGACAATGTGAAGACATTAAGAAATTGTTGTTGTGTTATGGATTGCCTGAAGTTACAGACACTTCTTTTTATTTTACTGATTTATTTTTCCTTCTTTTACAATATTTCTTGAAATTGCCTAATGTTATAAGTCACTAAAACTTACGTCAGAAATTTCTTGCAAATTTCTTTTCGTTTACTTTTACTCTTATTGTCGTTCTTTTCTTCTGTTCCTTAGGAGTTTGGAAGACTGCAGCAAACGTTGGCGACAGAGCTGAAGGACACGAAGGATGAGACGGAAACAGTGTGAGTAGAGCTTGAATTAAAATAATCTGTATTTCAGTGTTTACGGCATTCATTTTTGACCGGAAAACTAGTACAGCTAAGAATCAGCATCATTTCTGCGGCAGATTAGTAAATAAGTGTGAAGTAATGATAAATTACGGAATAAAAATATCCTCGAGATAGCATAAATGTATTCCGTGTTTTGTATAAAATGATCATAGAACGAAAATAGTGAGAGAATTATTAAAGAAAGAATTTGCTACAAAAGTAAATAATGCAATAATTTTTTTGCCATTTTTTCTTTTCAGTTTTAAACTAGCAACCGGATATCGCTTGGTCCGGAAATTGTCCTCAGTGTCGTGACATTAGCAGCCCACAGTTTCACTTTTGTTGTTTTTATTTCTTCAGATGTTTCTAATGTTAATATTCTGTTAGTGTAAATAGAAAGTATTAATAAGGGATTTTGGGTTAGGTTAAATTGTCAAAGCACAGATTAATTATTTGGTATTTTCTATAATATCTTTTATGACAGTTTTCACAAGTACAGAGCGCTTTGACTTGAAAGAAAAATTGATTCTAGAAACATGCTTGTAATCCAAAGAACCCGTATATCAAAGCGAATTTTCCTATAAAATTCAGAAAATTTGATCCGCAACCCAAAAATGCCTGTATAAAAATTATTACTGTAAAATATAAAGTAAAAAAACTTAGACAAATTAAACTGCACATTATCTTTGAAAAGGAATAAGCTAACTCACAGATTCATTGCTATTTATGGGTTCACTGCAATAGCTTTCCTTTTGTGCAATCATTTGTTTTTTCTTATCCAATGACAGTTATTTTTTCCTCATTATATATCGATGATATTGCGGAACATTCTTAGTTATCAATTACAATATTTTTAGCCAAACTACCAAAGATCCGACGGCCCTAATTAAACCGAAACTCCAATAGTGGCCGAGTGACTAAGACAGCTAAATGCTGGAGGTTCTATTTGGGTTTCTATCCGTGTTCAAACAACTTAACTAACCCAAATAAATTATACAGCAAATTTATATAGTAACTTATTTAACTTTTTGCTTTACTGTATTTAACTTAATTGCAATATTGCTAGAGCCTTTATAATTAGTTGATTTTTTCTATCAGATTGCCCAATCTTATACCAGCTGATCGCCGTCGTACCATCCAGCAGATGGCTCTTATAGCTTTAGGAATGGAACGTAAGTTTCGCTTGTGGCACGGGAAGGACTATGTTAACTTCATCTGTAGGGATTTCGAAAATTTGCATCAGCCTTACGCAGGTTTGTATATTCAATGGTTTTTCAATGCAGGTCTGGATATAAAAGCAGAAAAACAAATTTCCTTCAAAATAAATTTCATAATCATTTAAAAGTTTAGATCAGATTAATTTATTAAGGTAAAGCACTTGAAGGCTATTTGCATGACAAGAAAGATACTTTCGTAGAATATTTCCTAAGAACTGGCTCGTATTCACGCGAGGAAAACCATAAGAAAACGTATGAAAACTAGGAAAAACACATAGGAAAACATAGGAAAATACAACATATAGGAAAAAAATCAAAAAAACTCCCATGCAGCCAGCCTTTTTATCAGGATATTTTAAGATATCATAAACCCAGTCAAGCTACTAGTCGTTCAGCGATCTAATCCGCTTGAAACAATGTTCATTCGTTTGAAACAAGTAAAGATGTTATCTGAAGAAACCTAAAGACAAAATTTAATATATTTTCTTAATTATTTTCGATGGTGGTATTATGGTATTAAGCGTAACAATATGATCGAAATATTATTCGAGTAAATCTTTCTCGATCCCTTGAATAGTAATAGAAAAGAACTCCGTTATTAGGAAAGAACGAAATTCGTATGAAGAAAGTTCTTTTTAACACCTCAAATGAATAACTAATACAGAGAATGTTTACACATTATTAGAACGATTTAGATTAAGAATTAAAAAAAATGTTTTATAATAAAAATTTCTGGCAACAGCTTATTATTTGAAATGAGAAATATCGTCTGCTACTTGCTTATTCACAAAGCATGCCTGCTACTTTTCAATTCATTCTTCTTTCAAAATGGGACACGTAAACAAGTTGTGGATTGAAGGATATGTTTTTGCACTTTCAAATTATTTAAAAATTTATTTCAATATGTCAAATTATTAAAAAATTTAAATATTTCGAGTATTTTTAACATAATTTGAAAACTTAAAAAATATATTCTATTATACGAGTGAAATATAAAAAAATATATCAGTGATATTGATGTCCAAGCAGGCGAGGAGTTTATGCAATTTACTTTAATGGTGAGGAAACAGAATTTGTGAAGCCCGAAAAATACGTACTAGTACATCAAAAATAGGCTGAATATTATCAACTCCAACTCAAGATATGTTTGATACTATTCAAGATAGCAGTTTTTCCCCCATCACCATCTTCTATCCTGTACTGGACTTACAATGCTGCGCTCATTCTACTCGAAGCGCCCTTCTATCGGACACGATGTTCGGACAGCTGCAACACAGCATGAATTTTTTTATTTTTAATCTCGGCATTCAGCGGAAGTTGGAGTTAGTTGATAATATTCAGCCCTTGATTAGATAATTAACTTGTTACAATCGTTTGCGAGTTGAGACCTTGCAAACCAAAGATGTCCATTTGAGTATTTGTCATCGAAGGTCTGAGCGCGAATTAACACTAGAACGCCAAGTTTTCGGTTTTATCCGTTTTGTGCAGTCTCTGTGAGTTTTTCACAAATCTGATTGGTAAATTTTGGTCTCTTTCATTCGCTCTCCCAACACTGTTTTACGTTCAGGTTGGAATTCTAATATTCTTCTTTTCTGTCTCTCAGAGTGGAATGTGACCCTATGTTCTATGTAATTATTGCTCATCTGGATGAATACTATCACCCCTCTTAATTTATAAAAACAATTTAGAATCATCATATATATTTTAATTTCATTTAAATTGTAATCTGTTTCAAACGATAATATGCTAATAGTATTTGATATTTTCTCATTTACACCGTTTTACGTTTAACATTGCGTGAAATAACCACCGGAGCTTTCAAAAGCGAAATTTTCAATTTTATTTAATAATAAAGATATCGATTTATCAATTTGCAACCTGATACATTATTTTATCTGTTTAAAGTAGAATCTTCATTAAGAATTTAGATTGTAATCTAAAGTTACCAGATTGCATTCCTTCCCATATTCGATGTAATTCAGCCGTTTCGCACCAATTCTGCAGAACTGCTTAGAATATTTTTAATTCGGCCTTAACCTGTAGTTAATATTTCTTATTTAGGTGTCTCGCTAGCGGCCGAGTGGTAACGTCACTGAACTCTGGTAGCTGGATCAAGGCATGATTCCAGGCTACATGGGCGCTTTCGTGTTTTTCCCAAGTGCAAAGTAGTTACGAGCCAGTTTCCTTAGAAAATCCTCCACGAAGACATCTCTCCCTCTAGGCAGATAGCCTCGTGTGCTTTGCGATAATTAAATAAAACAAACCGCTTGTTTAGGTAGTGAACCTGTTTCTAAAACCTTTGAATCTCAAAACTGACTGTGATTGCCTACTACTCGCAAAATTCTCAGTGCCTTGTTGCATTTTACAGACATCATTGATCGCAAGACAACACCTCGCATGCCCTGGCACGATATCGGATTGTTTGTGCAAGGAGAGCCAGCTCGAGACATCGCCAGGCATTTTATCATCCGCTGGAATCAAGCAAAGGTACTCATCCCCTTGTCTGAAGAATTCGGTCTGAACATATTGCAATACTGTGTGTATTTAATAAGACTTAGTTTTTGAAATAAAATATAAGTAAATAAATAACGTTATTGCGAGAAAAAAAGATAAATTCACAGGTGGTTGCGGTGTCATTAGCGAAAATTTGCTAGAATTTAGCGGTCTAGAAATTAAACTAATCATTTCGAGGTCAAGGATTTACATTAACATCTCGAGTGGAAAAGAGGTATGCCAGAAGCAAAGCAAAAACAAATCAGTTTCTGGAAACCGGTTATTTTAGTTCAAAATTATCATTTAATAGGACGGCATTTTTATAATTTATAACTACACGTATACTCTGCACAGAGGAAAAAAAAAAAAAAAAAAAAAAAAAAAAAAAGAGGACAGTTCTATATCTCCTATTCTACTGGGCCGCATATAATATATTATATGTGGGACCCAGTATTGCAATGTCCGATCACAAATACACTGGTGTGCAAAAATTAAGGACGAGACGGTGTTTTTCAATATAACTTTGTACAAAAGCTTTCTAAATCAACACATTTAATACCGTAAGATCCCCAATACGTAAGGACATGAGTAATGTAAGCAACACTTACCAAAAGAGAAATCAGAGGGATAAAAAGAAGCTTTATTGAAAAAGTAGCATGGAGCGCAATGCGACTGAAGGCCAAAACATCCCTGTGATGGGTGTCCAGCAAGAAACATCCGGTCTTTAATAGGGGATATGATCTCCCCTGACTGCTAGGCAGGTTTCACAGCGTCTGCCCATGTTGAGAATGCGGGTGTCAATGAGTTGTTGAGGCATTGCTGCCCATTCGTCTTGCAGCGCCAATCGAAGCTCCGGAATCGTTACTGGTGGTAAGGTACGAGCTGCCAAGCGTCTGCCTAGAAAATCCCATACATGCTCGATGGGATTGAGATCCGGAGATCGTACATGCCAATCCATACGTTCAATATCCTCACTCTCTAAGAGCTGTTCGGCAGCTACTGTGCGATGACATGGTGCATTGTCGTCCATGAAAAGGAACTGCGGACCCATAGCGCCTCTAAAAAGACGCACATATGGAAGAAGAATCTCGTTACAATAACGGGTCCCGTTGACTGAACCTGCGTCGAAGATGTGAAGGTCTGTACGACTACCAAGCATGATGCCTCCCCAAGCGAGAAACCGCCACCTCCATACCTGTCCCTTTCAATGATGTTCGAGGGATGATTGCGTCTTCCCCGCTCTCTCCAGATGAGTATGCGATGAGAATCGCTACTCAGACTGAATCTGCTCTCATCTGTAAAGAGTTCTCGTCCCCATTCATTGTCTCTCCAATTCCGGTGTTCCCGGCACCGCAGAGAACGCCTTCTCCGATGGGCAGGCGTTAGAGGCACACACCGTACAGGGCGTCGTGCAAACAGACCACCACCGTGCAGTTTTCTGGCCACGGTAAAACGCGATATCTGTCGTCCAGTAGCCTGTGTCGTGTGTCTAGCGATTTCTCCCGCTGTCTGCCGCCTGTTTCTTCTGGCCTGTAACGCAATATACCGGTCATCTGCGGGTGTGGTTCCTCGTGGACAACCACTACTAAACCCCCGGATAGCTGTTCCTGTAGTTTTAAATTGTCTCCAAAGTCGTGAAACGATGCTGTGAGCAATTCCGAACTCTGCAGCCACACTTGTCACACTGCGGCCTTCCTCCAACTTCCCAATGATTCGACCTCGGGTAAAAGCATCCAGATGTCGTCTAACAGATTGATTATTCGCCATTTCTCGCTGAGGCAGCAACTCGGTGTAATTTTAACTGCTATACGGCGTGCAATGTCTTTGCCAGAAATACTGATCTTACACCGACAACATGCTTTATACTACTCAGACACACCCCCATTACGTCTACCTGCATATCTGCGCATGTGCTACCGTACATCACCTTACTTAATCTCCTGATTGGTCTTTCTGTCCGCTCTGCCTCTTCGTTCAGCTGATATGCTAATTTTTCGACTTCGCCCTTAATTTTTGCACACCAGTGTATATTACAGTGTTCTAATACAGTTATTTTTACACAAAACAGGACATTTCCTTAAATAACATACCCATATATTTTCATACTTCGATTCTAACCCTCAAATTATGCCTAAATATTAAATTTTGTAATTTTGGTTAGAAACTTGAGGAGAAATTTATAATTTTATCCTGGTGCATTTTTTCAGTTTGCGCCAAGTTTGTTTTCCTTTCGGTTTCATTGCGCACGAACGGGAAAAAAGTTCATCATTTATTCTTTTAAATAATTTTAACAAAGTGCATAAACCATATTTGGCGTTATTATCGCTTATAACAAACATGTTAAATTTCAAAACAAGCCAATACATAAAATTCACGTATATCGTGGAAATTTTAAATAAATAAAAAAATAAATAAATAAAAAAGAAATCTGAAATGTTTCAGATTTTAAATTACGTCCAAAGGGGCGTTTTTTAACATTTTGTGTGTTACCTTTCTTTATTAAATATCATGTTCCTCGCACTTAAACCATAAGATCCAGTGCAACAGCAATATCGCAAAATAGTTTTAAAACGAGCATATCTTTAGAATTTCCGATACAGAGACTCACGCGCTGGAGATAAAAATGTTTTTTCTGCACAACGTTGCCATTGCTCGCTTTGAAATCCTTGAGTTTGTTAATCAAAAATTCGTCAAAGTTTTAAAAAAATAGGAAATCGATCATAAAACAAATTTCAAATTTCAAATTTGGTCTTCCACATGCTCATATTCGTTGGAGGATTACGTTATTCAAAATTCGATGACTCTATGTACCGTTGTTTTATCACAATACGAGAAATATACATACATTTATGCAGATTTTTCATTATTTAATTTCTTCAAATATAATGCAGGACTCTAACATTTTGTGGCAACAGTTTGAAAAGTGAACTGACATTTACGAGTCCGACGCAAAATGCCAAAACGAAACTAATAGTCCTTCGGGATTCAAATCCCTTTGGACTAAAAACTAATTTTTTGCAGACGAATCCAAGCACCGCAAAGAAAGCGTTATGATAATGCCTATGACCCACATTATTATAAGAGCCTATTTAAAAGTTTTTATGAAAAATACCACGCAGAAAGACAAAATAGCGGGAATTATTCATTCAGTTCATTAAAATATTTGCTAATTTTTATTTTTTCTGCTCACAGGAAGAAATCTGTCCTGAAGATTTCACTTATCCTTACCTCATGCCGAAAGCTTATGCCAAATTTAATGATAACACCTCTTCTTGGTTGTATGACATTATCGGAACAATCTACAGTGCAGAATGCCAGGTAAATAACTTTGAAAAGTGAGCTATTCTTGAAATTATGTTCATCTAACGGTATAGGATGTGAATCAAATTAAAAATAGGATAATTTTTTAAATTAAACTTTTATTAAAACTCAAAATCATTATCACAAGTTTATTTTCTATTCTCGAAAATCTCTGTCAAGTATACCAAATATCTATACTATTAAAATCTGTCTTCATCTGCCTGTCTGTTTTTGGCATTATCTCCTTCGGAACTGCGGGGATTGAGTTTCCAGAGAGGTACTTCCATATTCCAAAAATTCGTGGGAAGCCATTTCGACCATTATCATCTTCGCTCGGCTTCCATTAGCCGAGATACTAATTAAAAAACTCTGAAAACGCTAATTTCCGCACTCATTTTTCCGAGTGGCAACAGTCTCGCTCGCTGGAAATAAAAATCTACTTTATTTTGAAAAGTGTTGCCACTGCTAGCTTTCAAATCATAGAGTTTGTTAATTAAAAAAAATTGTAAGTTTTACAAAATATGAAATAAAAATAGCATTGCTAAATATTAAATGCATTATTATTATGTAAGATCATATTCTTGAATAAAGCATGCGATTGCATGTGACGTCATTATATATCGAAAATTGTTCGTTAATGTCAGTAATTTAAATAATGTCTGTTAATGGCAATTTTTTGTTTTAAGTTAGGATAACGGATACAATATTTAATTTCCACGATAATTCTTTTATTGATATTGAGAAAAAGTTGTTGTTTTGCATTAAATTTAAATCGTGATGTCATACATATTAAACTGAAGTGTCAAAAGTTTTTGTTTCCTGGTTTGGCAACAAAAAAGTATTTACGAATTGGTTGTTGCTAGGAAAGAATGATCTGATTTTATTCATACTGAAAGGTTTCTATGCATTTTCTTCTTATGTGTACATATTTATAAATTTTAATTGTGCATAAATATAAATTAAAAATTAATAAAAATTTTGTTTTTGCCGCAGCCCGCTAGTAAACACTTAATTATCGCTCGGAATTTATAATTTTTTCTCGAGCTTACCTTTTAAGAGAAATCAATGGTTGTGCAAATTTTGTGAATATAATATTAGACTCCCTTTTTGATGCATTCTGCGCAACATCCTCGCTGAAGAAACTCCTAAATGACCAATGCGTTTGCTGACAACTAAATGACCAGTGCTCTCCGAGTGTGTAAAAAGGGTTGCAGCCGAAAGCACGCGGCAAAAACATCGCGCACGAAAACGTCGCGGAGAAAACAACGCAAAGCGAAAACGTCGTGGGAGAAAACATTGCAAAGAGAAAACATCGCGGTACAAAATATCGTGGTCGAAAATAAAGCGGTTCAAAAACTTCGCAGTTTAAAAACATCGTCGTCGAAAATATCTTGGTAAAAAATAAATTACTACAAATCGTTGGATGACGTGACGATAACATCGCTCACATGCGTGTTTCAAGTTTTTAAAGTTGTAACTTCATTTTCGCTTAATGATTTGGGAGCGCACGAAGGAAAGAGAGAAAAAAGGTGAAAATGTTAAAGTCACTTCAAGAATAAAAGGAAAAAAAAAAAAAAAAAAAATATAATTTTCACTAAAACAATAACAGATTAACAAACGTGAAAGAAAATAATTTGATATTTAACTAAGCAATTTGTATACAGGTAACATCATGCACTTATTTCTCTTATTTTTTTCTAAACATTTTTACACTGTATTTTTTATAAAAAATTATCAGTAAAATTTTAAAAAAAAAAAAAGATTAATTTATTAATAACCTTTGTTAATTAATTATGTAAATTAAAAAATTCTATTAAGTGCTATAAGTTGCACTAATTTTCTACTCATTTTCAATTTTTAAATGCTTAAGTTTCATCAAAAACTTTACGTTTACTCAAAAATAAGAAATATCGAAGTAAAAATATCCCTCTTTTTCTTCTTGAGCTCCCAAATCATTATGCGAAAATGCACTTTCAACTTTTAAAATCTTAAAAACGCATATGTGCGATGTTATTGTCACGTGATTATTTGTAGGTACTTTATTTTTTACCACGATATTTTCGTCGCCGATGTTTTTAAACTGCGAAGTTTTTGAACCGCTTTATTTTCGGCCACGATATTTTGTACCACCGTTTAGGACTCCGGTATTTTGTCTTTGATTTCTTTTCTCCCAAGGTGTTTTTTTTACTACGACGTTTTCGCCTTGCGTTGTTTTCTCAGCGACGTTTTCGTCTGCGATGTTTTCGGCGGACACCGAAAGTCTTTACGAATCAAGTATCCGGCTATCCAATGGAAGGGAGGAATTTCAAACGTAAAAATGTGCAGCAGTATGTTTGAGAGCTCGGAGATTTAACCATTGAAAATTTCGTATTTTCAGAGATAAGTAACTTCTTTTACAAAAGTCGTGTCACAAGCTATTATGAATGTAGGTCTTATTTTTTCTTTGACAGAGGCAAAGAATAAATAAAAATTATTATTCTTTAAAGCTTTACTTTTGTGCATCATCATACATGTATTTTCTTTATATTTTTACGGATAACAATATTCAGAATTCAACATATGTTAGTGGAAATACTTAACTCTCCCTTCTGAGTATAAACCCATGTTTTCTTTGAATTTATCAAGGGCATTAAGTGTAGGTACTTTTAAGGACATTCCTTGAACAGTCTGTTTTGCTTTAAATTTTAACTAATATTCCACAATTTTTCATAGAGTCTTGTGATATCCAGAAAATCCTTAACCCTAACAGCAAAACTGCACCAAACACTTCTTTGATTAAAATGAATTTTAAAATTCTTTCACTTTTTAATTATCTCTTGACCTTCTAGGAAGAATTGCTTTGATCTTCACCGCACGTAGCTTAGAAAATGAGTTCTAAAGATGTCTGAAAGCTGTCGAATTAGTAAATACAGCTTTAATAAATTACTTTGTTAAGCCTGATTTCACGGGCAAAGCGAAGGCACCAGAATTAGCTGGAATCGGAAGAATTGTTTCCAGTTGATACTGTTGAATTCTTACAAAGCATTTAGTCCATTGTATTTTATCTTTTCAATAGCAATCTGCCTTGGTTTAGCTGCTCTCTTATTAAAGACAGAGCTAACAACGCCGTTTTGTAAAAGTTGCTTGAAGACTTATCAGGAAAGCCACCAATCTGAAATCTCTAGTAACTTCCCAACCATGCTCATCATCCTTCAAATTATTTTGAAGTAAGGTTGAGAAAGATCTACTTTAGGATACATGTTGAGTAGTAAGTTCCTCAACAGCATCATATACCCATATCAGTTGCTTTCACTGAGGAGTTTTATTTTGGGTTACTTTTTTAAATTTTTCGTAGACGTAACAAACTGTGTTTCTTAGATACGTACAACCTCGAGATTCCGTTTGTTAACAAAAATCGTAACCTTTTCTCTTGTAGAGTGCTCATCAGGAAGTAAATTATTCCCGTGGTTAAAAAATATACCGGATTACATCTTAGAGGCATATGATACTGACATCTTAGAGAAATATGATTCTTTAATCTGAAAATGACTACTGTAGTAAAGAAATATTGCCAAAAAGAACTTTAGCAAAATTGAAATATTACTCACAAAAGCAACGTTTAAAAGCATAAATGCCTTTTTTCATCTTTCTTTAAGCTACTGGAAAATAGCACTCACACCTAAAACCGGAGTCGTAGCTAGGATATTTAGTGCCCGGGAAGAGCTGAAGATTTTGCGCCCTCTCCTGTTTGGCTCCCCCTGGATGTTGCCCCCAGAAATAAATATCCCCCTTGTCGCCTCTAGCTAGGCCCCTGCTTAAAACCAAACCGCTGGGCTATTGCAAAGTTAATTTTATTCTCTTTCGAAATGAAAATACATAGAAAGGTATTGCAGACTTACAAAGGATCATACTAATAAGTTATTTTCTTCCTTCACGTTCGTACGAGGTTCGTAGATTTGGAGTGAATAACGACGACACTTGATGAAGTATCGAAACACACTTTATTTAGCGAATATTAATCAGTACAGCTCCAATAACACGTTTTACAGTCGTTGAAGATCTACTCTAAACACGCTGGAACAATCAGTGACACAGCCTTCACCTGTCAGGCAATAATGGTGGAGACAGCTTCACTGCAAAGCTCCCGACTCTGCTCGTTCATTCTCGGAACTTCACGTACTCTCGAGACTCTCCACGATACAACTCGCGATGCACTCGACGACACACGAGCACAGCTCCCGATTCTTCGGTTCAGTCGTTCCCGGAGCTCAACACGCTCTCTCGACGATGCACTAACCGCGATACACTAACAGACTCCTTCGGTGCACTCGACGACCCACTCGGCACTCGCTGTCCGGCTGTCAACTCGATCGACTCCGCAGAGATTGACTCGCTAGACGAGACAGCAACTGGATACTAACTAACTCTCACTCTAGACGAGGCACACATACTCGCCCTCTCAATGAAGCACACACTGACTGACTGCGGACCAGCAGGGTTTATACAGCTTTCGGCTTGTGTTCGGGAACATTCTGGGCTAAACTGGTAAGAATTCGTTCCAGAAGGTTCTCCATCCGTCCATGGTATATCGCCAATTTTGTCGCCAAATGGGCGATTTCTCGCCAAATGTGGCAATTGTGCCCTCCTTTGCCATTTTATGGCAACCCTAAAACTGCTTTGCGGCGAAGCTATCTTATCGCGCCTGTACATTTCTTAACAATGCTTAATTTTCCATAACAGAAAGGAGCTCTTAATATAGGCGGACTTTGAAAATTTTGACACTGTCACTTTTTCTTTATATTATATGTGTGGCTTAATCATTCAAGTGAATAATTAAGATAGAAAATATTGTTTTTCCTCAGGTGCTACGAAGCCTTTGCTTGTGGTCTGGTGGCATTTCAGAAACAGAAAATTCTATCCAAGAAGCTTACATTCAGGTTATTCGCGAAGCAAAACATTTCATATACATAGAAGTAAGCTTCTTTACAGTTATTTATGTTTTATTACTATTTTTTAAAAATTACTACAGGTACTACAAAAGAGAGGAATTAAATGTGTTTTTAAGGCACATAATTGAATATTTCTTTTGTTATGCTCAATCAGTTGCCTAATTTGTTCTGTGGGTAATTAGAATCCTTTATGGATGTTTGTCTTAATATGGTCACCGAATTGCTACCATGAGAAAAACCGCGCCATAAATTATGCTAAAGAAGAAGAATACTGCAGAAATCCTTGGGAGGGCTAGAGAGCATGAAATCCATTCATTTTAGTTACGCTTAAGTAGTAGATTTAAAAGGGAAAGAAATTTTTTAAAAAATAATTAGCTCTCATTGGATATCAGGAAAGAAAAGAAACAATTCTCAATGCGGAAACATGAACCTAGGTACACATAATATTTAAAACCTATAACATTAGATCTTAGTAAGATTTAGATTAAATTTAGTTACCAGAAAAAAATTAATCTGTCTGCTTTTAATTGTAAATATTTTCAAATGAATACATCAGTTTCATGATTTATTTTCACAATAATTAAAATGTTTGACAATACAGCTTACTTTTTGCGTCAAATCTTTTATTATTATATAAGGTATTTCTTCCGCTTTCTTAGCCTGCTTTCGTGGTGTAGTGGTTCTGCAGGCTGGACCGGTATTCCAGAGGTCCGTGGTTCGATTCCCGGCGAAGGCGGCTGCTAATTTTTCATCTTGCTTGCTTCCAAAATTCCTAATGTCTCTACAATTAATATCTGAAATTCACAAAGATTTAAATTAGGAATACAATTTTGAGAATTATAAAACATACATTACAAAATTATAAATCAACATGCCTATCTTATTTCTCTTCAAAGAAGACATCAACCATATTGTAAAATCGCATTTTAGAGATAGTTACCAATAGCATTAGTTCTCCACCGAATGAAATCTACAAAAGGCGGTTTAGGTATGACTTAATTCTTGATAAAGAAGCTAAATTTAGAATTGTACCTTAATAGATTAGAGACAATTCCTTTGGCTTATATTTTCGTTTTCAATCATATATTAGGAAGACAACGCAAACTAAATGGACTTAATTTTTCCAGATATTTTGTCTCCGCTTAATCCTTATCGCTGTTTTGTCTCAAGTTCGGGACAAAAAAACAAAACATTTTCTGAATTTCAAAAACAATGTTCCGTTGCTTTCGTCATTGATCCGCTAACAGAACAGTGCATGAGCATAATATGTTAGTTAATTTTAGCAGGAATTGAAGAGCATTCTGAATAGCCTTATCCCATATTTCACTCAATAGCACAACGTTTATTGTCTTGTATGGGTTACAGAAGTTACAAAAAAAAAAAAAAAAAAAAAAAAAAAACTGTGTGTGTTATCCTTGGAAACAAGTTATTGTACTTTGATAATTTCATTAAGCTTTGTGTCTTGACTAAAGAAGTTGGCCTTTAGTAAAGTTTTCTTAAAATATGCGTGCAGTAAGTAAGATTTTATTTTTTTCTCCCAATAACTCCGATAGAAGAAAACTCTTTGTATTTTACCATACTTAATTAAGCTCCTTAATTACTTTTAGAAAGGTAATTAATTCAACAATGCCAGAAGGGCTTCCAATGAAAACTGGAGGAAAGCTATGAAGAGCGTCCTTATCTGTTCTTTACTAAAGCCAGCGGTCTCAAAATGTGGGACGAGAGACAATACCTATGGCCCTATTATTTTTTGAAGTCCTTTTTTTTATTTTATGCATTATTAAATGGCTTAGTAAATAATATAACAACTTAGCTTAGCATGCATTTTTTTGTATTACAGTAGAAGTCCGATAATCCGGCACGTTCGGGACCGGCTCGGTGCCGGACTACCGAAAATTCCGGTCTATCGGGCGGTCATTATAAGAACAGTTAGGTTAATAATTAAACTAAAAATACAGTATGCAAATCTGTTCAGGTGTTAAATCATTATCAGCCACGATTTTCTCAAACTCGTCTTTGTATTTTTCTGCAGAGTTTTGGTTTGCTGAAAGGGTTTCTCCAGTTACATCAAGTCTTCGAATTCCATGCCGAAACTTAAAGTTTCTGAGCCAACCATCAGAATAATTACATTCACTTTCAGCAACTCCTAAATCTTGGCCGAATTTCTTTGCCTTTTCAACAATCATTGGCCCTGTTACCGGCTTTCCTTCAGAACGTACTGCACTAAATCATTTGAACAATACACTATCTAGCTGTTCCAGTTTTGGTTTTTTTAATGTTTGTCTAGAAGCCAATTTTTCAGTTGTTACCGATTGAGAAGCAAACTTCATTAGTTCATCTTTTGTTTTTTAATGTCATAAATAGTTGATGAGCCAATATTAAACTCATTCATTAAAACATTTCTATTCTCGCCTTTTCTAGCGTTTGATGGTTTCTAGTTTCTGATTGAGAGTCAGTGTTACGTGTTTTCGTTTCTCTCCTTTTGAACTCGAAGGCTTAGGTTTTGAAACATAGTCACTGTACAGTTAGAACGAAAATCACTTTTTTTATAAACAGTTTTCAAAAGTTACGTTTACTGCGATGTGAAAGGACACAAAACAACACGCACAAAAAAATGGCGAAGACGCTTCGTGATTGATTAAACGGAGCTGCACTGCACCTGAATTTGTTTGTGACAGCTGAGACTAGCCGGCCGCTAATTGTTTCCGAACAATACCGAGCGCTTCCGGATGATCTCGAAACTACCCCGAAAACTTCCGAATAGCTCTCGAGCGGTTTATTTGCTTTTAAAGACACACTTTTGGAGAAAACCAAAATTTTTTACAATTTTCGGAGCGATGCCGGACTATCGGGCATTCCGGACTGTTGGATGCCGGACTAATGGACTTCTACTGTATTAGTAATATCTATCTATCTGTGATTAAGAATTAAATTATAATTATCAATTGGTTTTTATTGATGATACATATTTGTTTATTAACACTCTTCATTGTTACATTCTTTTCGTTTCTTTTTTTTTTTCAGAGATATTATATGTATTTAAGTCGTGAGGTTAAGGTTTATGAAACTTTGCTATAAACAAACAATCCGATTCAATTCCAGTTTAGTGGCGCTGATTAATACTAGAATTATTTGCCAAAAGTAGCTTGAATGGTGAATTAAGCATGATCCTGCTGTTTAATATAATTTTCAAAACTGTTTTTCCATCTGAGGGGAAATTAATTACTTAATCTTGCTGACAATAAGGAAGGTTTGTGTGCTTATCGAATGAAATGCAGGGGAGTATATAAAGGATATCTGATAAAAAGAAGGCATTAATTTTTGTGGAGAACTTTAGGAAAACTGACTCGTATTTACGTTATACTTAAGAAAAATCATGAAAACGTTAACACGACTAGCCCATTCCCTGGAGGTGAAACTGAGAATGAGTTACCAGTGTTCATCGGTCTTATCCGGAAACAACGGACTTAAATAACGAGAGAAATATCATCTGCGTTATCGCTTATCAGAGCTTTATTCATTCATTGCCAGTTTTGACAGCTGTGTTCCTTCTCTGATAATGATCTTCGATTTATCTTTAAAATTATAGCAATGCGTCGCTTACATGTTTAATACGTAAGTGATTTAAAAAAAAAACATGCATACTTCTTAATGTCTACTGCTTGAAGATTTTTCTCAAATATCCGTGAATTAATAGGTTAGGTTAGGTTATTTAATTACGGCAAAGCCTCGAGGACTATCTGCCTAAGAGGAGGGATGCCTTCGTGGAGGACTTTCTAAGGAAAACTGGCTCGTATACACGTTACACATGAGGAAAACCACGAAAACACTCATGCAGTCAGCCCGTTCGCGGGATTCGAACCTCGGACCGAACTACCAGTGTTCAGCGACTTTACCGCTCGGCCGCTGGTGGGCTCCGTGAATTAATAATTTCATTTTAACCTTACCTATTACAATAGTTTATTGCTTATCACGACAAAAATTGAGCTAATTAAAAATATGCGAAAATAGCAAGGTGTCTATAACCATTATTTTTACTAATAGTTTTTAACAACATTTACACCATTAGTGTTTTTAATAAAATTCTTTTGAAGCAAAAATCACGTTTGTATTAGTAATTTCTAATAAGAATGATGATCATTTACTATGAATTATACAAACTGTGTAATTCCAGTTACGAGTGTGCTTCCCAAGAATAATATTAATAAAAAAAAAGGGGGGAACTACTTATGCATGTATATTTTAATAACTTCTAAATTATTGCATATTATATATACATATTTGTGAACTCTAATTTTAACCCCTCATGTTCCACAAAGTACACCGCGAGGCTCCCACAAATTATGCCACTAACAAAATAGACAAATGTACAATAACACTGAAAATGGGTAAAAATTATTATAAAACGATAAATAAATTAAAATATAAGTAGATGAAGAAAATAAGTAAAAGAAAAATAAAATAAAAAGTACCAAAATAATGATAACTCAATAATCTAAATTGAGAATGAAATTTCGAAATGCAAAAACTGTCCTTTAGTCGCAAAATGTTCAAAAAAAAAAAAAAAAAAAAAAAAAAAAAAAACGTTGGTGGCCAAGGTACAGCCAGGTGCTTTAAAGTTGCCTGAAGTGCTTTCTCTGTTGGACATGATGAATGCACTCAAGAAGAATGCTTAATAATATCATCATCGTCGATACTGCAGCTGGGCACAAAGCACTTGAGGACAATCCAAATCGCTTTAAACAACTTTTAAAACTACCATGCCCAGTTAAAAATTGAGTTAATTTAAAATCGGTTGGAAACTAATCAACTTTTATTCTGTGAAAAATTGTAATAAAAAGCCTTTGGGCCATTCTGCTTTTGGTTAAGCCAGATATTCTCTGTTATAAATACAGCTAACATCGTTTGTATAAACGCGCTTCCAATGAGAAACAGGAACACGGAGATTTAAATGAATGCGATGTTTCGTGGCTAGCTTTGCTAGAGCGTCAGATCTCTCGTTTTCAAAATTTCCACAGTATTCACGAACGTAAGCAAAATCAATGTCGATATCATGGTCTTGCAAGGTCTTAATAATAATCTAAATTTCAACAGTAAGTTTCTCCGAAGCACTAATTTTCTGAAATAATTGTAGCAAAGAAAGAGAATCACTACCTATTAAAATATGCATTACAAGAATTTTTAATCCATTTCACAGCAAGGTTTAAACATAGCAAATCAGCCTGAAAATCAGAGCACTTATCATTAATTCTGTGCTGTTTGAAATCTCTTTATTGTTAATCTTCATAAACAACAAAAGTAAGACCAACCTTATCATTCTGTAGAGTTCCTCACTTTGGAATTCTAAGTTAATGTTGGAAGTGAAGAATCTAAGACCCTGATAAGCGAATAATCGCTAGAGTTCAGTGATAAAAAACAACAAGATAGAAGGGTAACTAACCCTTTATTATTCCAATAAGATTTAACAAACTCCGCCTGGGAGTGTACAAGCAAAGCCCGCACTTGGGCTTGAACTTAAAAGACTAAAAATTAAACTAAAACTAAGATTAACTAAAGAAGTATAGCCGAAGCTATCAAGGTTCAAATTGAGTTGGCCCCCTTAACTTATTTGACTACGAAGCTTAGCAAGGGCCTGAGTACGGCCGAGCGTAATAACAGCTTTGAGAGAGAGAGTGGCCAAAAAACTCTGATTCTCTCTGCCTCCGTAAGTAACTTCGTGGTTTAAATACCTCTTCTTCTCATTAAAATTTCAAAACTACTTTCTGGCCGGAAGTAGTAAGTCGAAGTTAAGAATTTGACAGGAAAGGAAATTTAACTTAAAATTTAACTGCTAATAAAATTAACATAATCCTTTCAATTCATTTTTCTTCCGTCTGTAAAACAAATTAATTTGTACACTTCAAGAACAGCATCAGAATATCTGACTACTGGTATAGGATACTAGTATGTATATAATTTGATGATTAAATTTGTGACTATTTTGTATTTAACCAAAAAAAAAAAAAAAAATGAATCAACACTGTGTCATCAACTTCCATCACTATTAAGACTTTTGCAACAAACTAATTTTTGTAATTTTATTCACGAATCCCGAATAAACTGCCATATATTGCAAATTTAAGCATAAAGTAGCCATTCGCAACATATTTTTAATTTTAAAAACGGTCCTTAGACGTGAAAAGGTTGAAAGCTCTTTTAGAACTCTATAGTGTACTTCATATTCATGTAACATATCGTTCAAAATATAAAACTGTATTTAATATTTATAATACTTATTCATTTATGTAACAAATGTATGCCTTTTAATACCCACCTTGTTAAAAAGTGTATTTTGGTGTATACTTCGTCTTTCAGTAATCCATTCGCATAAGACAAAGCTTCGTTCATTATAAAGAATACGATTTTTCTGTATTTCCCTGTTTATGATCATAGATGGAAGTCAATACAGAGAAAGTTTGATGTTTAATCGGTTCCCTGTTTATCTTTTATTGCCCCACAAATCGGAAAGTCTTGGAAGAGAGAACTCTTCCTTAAGATGGAACACCAGGTATACAGTTGCGAAGACAATACTCAAATCGTTTGAACGCAAACAGGATACTTTATAAAATTATAATACTTTTCCAAACACTATCTCTCTTCAAAAATGAAATCTACTATATAGGTTTTTTTCCCTAGATTATTAATCCAAAGTACCATTTACAGCGAACTGTCTTTAAAATGTTCACTTACATTTTTAGATGATTTTAGTATTCTGTAGAGGTGGTATTCTTGGGCAGATAATGGTCAATACTGATACATTTATTTACGTTCTTAGGAATACTGGTCTTCAGAGGAGTATCCAAGAAACCATTATAAATTTTCCTTTGCACTCAGATAGGAATACATGTTTTTATATACCTTGAGGCTGTGAAATGCACATAACTGATATTTATGATAAGGTAATAACTATGTCCCTTCATGTGTTTATTGAATTGTAACTCGTGTGTTAGATTGGCTGTATTTATTCTTATAAAACAGTTGTTGCCTTTAAATCGCTAAAAGGTAACGCAGTCTATGAATATCCATTAACAATTCAGAAGAAAGTATGAGCATGAATTTCTGGAGAAGTATAGACGAAGAAAAACGCAAGGTAAACGTTACATCAGCAAACTAGTCAAGAAATCTGAAGTCGCAAGCAGTGTTTTGGACAAATCAAATTACCGTCTTCGATGATAAGTGATTTCTAAAGAAATGAGACTAACGTGTTCACCCGATTTCCTAATGAATTGTTTGAACGGGAATACTTGAAGTGTTTTGCTTAAAAAATAACTCCCCCTCTTTAGAAAATTTAAAAGCAGCATCGGTAACGCAATCCGATTATTGATTATATGTGTCTCGAGAAAACTTTTAACGATGAGGTATAAAGTCGCTTTCAAACATAGTTGAAGGTTTAAGACAGATTGCATTTTTTTTTCTCTTTGAAGCTACTGCGAATTGTGCTACATTCCCATACTTCGTGTTTGCAAACAAAGCCTTTATTTTTTTGGAGGGAGGGGATAGGTAGAATAAGTTGCAAATTACGAAGGATTCTTTGAGAAGGATTTAAGAGTGAATTTAATAAAGCATTTCGTATTATTTTCCGTAAACGCGATTTTCCTTATCCCGCATTTTGAGAAATGCAATTTTTAGGACTTGCTTTCCTTTTTACTTCCTTGTACGAAGTAAAAAGGAAGTATTGTAATCGCGAAAAATTTCAGGCAGCATATTTCAACGAAAATATCCATTTTGACCGCTATCGAATGCAATTTAACGATGTTTTTGCGTGATATCTGTACGTAAGGACAGAATAAAAGATTCTTTTTCTCCAAAAAAATTATAAAACTGCTTTAAAATGAATTCTGAAGAGAATATTTCGTGGCGTCTGTACGAACGTATGTACGTACGTGCGTACGTATCTCGCATAACTCAAAAACGAGTAGCCTCAGAACGTTGAAATTTTGTATATAGAACTGCTATAACATGTAGATGTGCACCTCGTATTTTGGTTGCAATCGGCCGCACTAAACGTATATAAATATATTTATATATATATCCACTTTATTACCCGGCTCAGTGATCTCAGTTTCTTTACTTTTATATGTTTGTAAATTGTACATTTTTTGCTTTAAAAATGATTTAATTATGTTGTTTTTATCTTCGGTTAAGATTTTTATGCCTTTAGTAAATCTCTATGTAATATTTTTAGAATTATCAACAATTTTAAAGTTGTTTAAGTGCCGCTAAGCCTAATCCTTTTCTTGATGGCGGCCATTGTTTGTTTACATTTGAAACAGCAGACTAGTGGATTTGTTGCCAATCTAGAGAAACGTAGCTTCGCAACAACAAAGATAACGCCTTCATTTATTATTGCCAATTAAATCATGCTTAATCCTTTCTGGAATTTTTTCGAGGAAATAAGTGTTTAAGATTTACTTCGTAATTTTTAATATAGATATTTTGAGTTTTTATGTATTTTTGCCTTCTGGCAAAGTGAGAACTGAATTAATTGAATGATAAATACTCAATCGTCTGCGAAAAACTGTTTGTTTTTTGTTTTGTTTGCTTAATTTCTTTTACATCGTTCTAGCTTTATTATAGTATTTGAATAGAACATGTGGCAACGATTAGATAATTCTATTCTTTAAATGATATAAATTTTGTGCATTATGAGTTATAATATGAACGAAATATAATACTGTTAAGTGAATCTTGCGCCAGAGTGTCACTATGGTAAACAAATACTAGAGTGAATTTTAAAGAATGCATTTATTCTATTGTGTTTATGCGCTGTCGGCGAAGTAGATTTAATTCAATCCAATAAATTTAAATGAAATGCAAGAAAAAATGCGTATAATTTAATATTCCGTACAAGGAAGTCATGTGGTGTACACATCAGATTTTTTCGTATTCATTTTCATTCATAAATTTATGAAACTAAATATTGTATTCATTCTCACTCAAAGCTCATATAGAAAATTACTGGCGCAGTAATCCTATTCCTAGTGACAACCTCTCTATAAGACCACACCTGAAAGAAACTAGTATTTTTGAGAATATAAATAAACATTACTATCGCACATCCGATTTCTAAGATGATCACTTTCATAGAAGACCAAAATCATCTGAAGGTGAATGGATTTTTTAGTGAGGGCTCACTATATTTCTTTAGTTTATTTCATTTTCATAAAATGAGTTTAAATCCTTCTGTCGAATTGAAATTTTCTCTCTTAGAGTCCGAAAACATTAATCCTGTGAGTATCCATCTTTCATGAAAGTGGGCGAAGCTAATTTTCCCCTTACTTACGACTGATTTGTACGAATATATTACTTAGCATTTGTATGCATAAGAGATGAACCAATATTGTCTTTTTAATGGTAGAGCTTAGTAAATTTTTTTAAATAATATTATTATTATAAAATTTTTCTAAATACTTTATTTCAGAATCAGTTCTTTATCAGCCAACCCAGTGGTGATAGAAATGTACTTAATGGAATAGCTGATGCTTTATATTACAGGATACTCAAAGCCCACAGGTAGTGAATTTAATTTCCTTTTATATTAATTTGACCTATCAGATTTTTGATTGATTCTGCTGACTAAAAAAGCTGAAAAGTATATATGTTTAATGAAAACTGATGTTGGTTTACATTTCTGTTGCACTTCTTTGGATTTCTTCTTGATCTGTTGTACGCTAGTGACATCAGTGTACAACATATCAAGAAAAAATCAAAAGAAGTAATGAAAAAAGTAATCAAAAGACGTAAACGTAAATGTCACTAGCGTAAATAAAACGCTAGTGACATTTACGTTTTCTTAAATTCCATACTGTAACGAAAAAGTTAAATTACAAATGGTCTCCCAGAATCTAGTTAATTGAATTCCATTACTGGGGGGAAAATGTATAAAAATAAAAAAGTTTGACCAAAGAATGAGTCTGAATATTCACAGAACGATCAAAATACGTGGAGCCTTGGACACGAACAAGTTTTTCAAACGAAAAATGTCTGACGACGAACGATATCTTGAGATACGAGATACGTATAGATAAGCCGACAACAAATGATACTCCAAAATACTGTTAATGCAGTGGAGGAAATGGTCTTCAAAAGAAGACGGAAGGGAGAGTATTCTTAATTATTTTATCTGTAAAATTTGTGCAAAATAGAGCAAGATCTAAATGTTAATAAATCTTTATCATTCTGATAAATAGTAAGCCATAGCTTAAATATTTTCAACAAAAATGCCATGTTTTAGGAACATTTAAAATGTAGACAGAAATAAATCACACAATAAATTTTTAATGGAAAAAAGGGACCAGTGATTCTGAAGTAAAAGTTAGCTATGTTAAGAGTTAAGAGTAGGGGGGGGGAGAAACAGAAATACAGCTATTATATATATATATATATATATATATATATATATATATATTTTTTTTTTTTTTTTTTTGAATAAGATTTTCTTCTCAAACAATCATATTCCGCAACTTTGGCATTTTCATCGTTTTCTACTTACTTCGCTAATTTTCTTTCGAGAGATACGGTAAAATTTAGTTCAGGCTTTCTTATTTTTTATATGTTTAGTATTGTGTTAAATATTGAGTATGCTTCAATTATTTTATTGATATTGAGTATGTTTCAATTAAGTTTTTATTAGATTTAGCGAATTAAATCAGTTTTTCATTACGAACTTAATACAAAGTTCTCTTTTCTAAGCACTCATCTAGGATCTGGGAATGGATTAATTCATTTTACATTAGAACCTATGAGGACAGTTTTTCAGTTTACGAATATTTCGTGTTACGAACTATCTCCAGGAACGAATTAATTTTGTAACCCTGTAACGTTGCGCGCTTCCAACCTGCACGCAACAATAGTGGTGACTGCTAAGAACTGGAAAGTAGACCAAAGTCTTGAGAAGGATTTAAATCCCTTTTTATTCAACTTTAGAAATTACAAATGCGTGTTCTTGACGCTCACAAACTACGCCTACCCGGCGGTAAAATAAAAATAAGAAACTAAGAAAAGAATAGTAACAAGTGACTAACTACGAGGCTCTCTAAACGTAACTAACCTCACCGCGTTCTAAGATACCGCTGATAATTCAGCAAACTTCTGAATATTACGTTGAAAGATTAACAAACTGCCGAGGCAAGCACACAGGCCGAAACGCGTGGTTCTTCAATTTCTAACTAGCCACCTCCACGCTCGTGAAGCAAGAAAGCACACTTTCGAACTCGTTTCCCTTCTATTTAACTCAGAATACTTCCGCTGAGAATTTGAATCCTTGCGCGTTCTACTAAAATTTACATACTCTGGCATTGGCAATTCTAGGGAAAGTAAGGCTTGACAGGAAAGATAGTTAAACTTAAAATAAATGTTAGTTACAATAAATATAAACCCTACAACCCAAGAGAAAAATTATATAGAGAAACCTTCCTTAATAGCATTTCTGTTCCCTGGGAGCGAAAGAATGTTTGCACATGGTGAAGTTTCACCTCCACTGATAAAGGCATAAATGATTTATGTCTTATTCAGTTGACCAATATAGCTGTATTTCTGTGGGAATGATATCACGACAATGCACGATTCCTTCTGATATAATCACCATCTTCAGAACACCTAAACACCATGAAAGAATATTGAATAATAGCTTACACATTATGTTAATAAGCATCATTTAAATATTTTACAAGACTCGCTAACTGTTCTAATGTGCCCCATGAGAAGAATTTCCATGCCGTCACATAATCCTTTTCTCCAATAGAATCATTTTGGTGGGATAAGCTGTGATGTTCGTGAAGGGAGCAGGCCATGGCAATGAAAAACATGGCGGCGCTTTCCGTTCCCGATGTTGGAATGTCCCCGAAAAGCCATCTGGAAATGGATATTTTTGAATTCGGGTGGGAAACATAACTTCACTATTTTTCTTATCTAATTGAAATAAGCTGACAGAGAAGATACTTTTTAAATTATTTTCAATTTTCAGGGCTTCTAAAATAATTTTAATTAGCTTTTTACTTAAATATAATTGAAAGAACCGATGAGTGAATGTGATTACTATTCGTCAGATTTCTGTTCGAATATAAAGTCTAGAGGAAAGTGATCATTCCACTTGTTATCAACACACACACAAATTTTATTTATTATCATAATTATTAGGAACACGCCTTCGATATGATTACGCTTAACACCTTCTTTATTCCCTTTATTCCCAGGGAGGTTAGAATAAATGGAGTAAGCCTTTCCCATATGTCCCGTGCAATAAAAAGGAAGTCATGAAACGTCACGACTTATCTTGGCCGCTGCCAGAGGCGGACTTCTAGTTAGTTTTGTTTACATTCTAATCTGCGTTGTCTACATGTTAGCTATTCGTTATGGAACGTTTATAAGTCTCCCGTTCTAATTTTAGTACTTAACATAGATGATTTTCTACTTAGTAGTATATAGGAAAATCACAAGGATTGCAAATAACTATTTCAAATTTAATAAAATCTAGATACGTGATATAATTATAAATCAAATGTATTATAATAATATAATTATAAGTCAAATGTATACATGGTAAAACCTAAAAGAACAGTGAAAGTTACAATGGTATTTTACACAAATTATGAGATTAATTTATGCCTTTGATAAAGGCATAAATGATTTATGTCTTATTCAGTTGACCATGGTCTGCTCCCTTCACGAACATCACAGCTTATCCCACCAAAATGATTCTATTGGAGAAAAGGATTATGTGATGGCATGGAAATTCTTCTCATGGGGCACATTAGAACAGTTAGCGAGTCTTGTAAAATATTTAAATAATGCTAAAGACACTTTTCTAAGCCTGCGGACGTTGATATTTGCTCTTTAAGCCAATGTTAACTTTATTTAATAATATATTTCGTAGTTCGTACGATGTAAGACGGCTATGATAAGTCATGACGTCACGTTGCTGACATCATGGACCTTGTAAGAAATAGACCAACCCAAATAGCTTTTTCTCCCTCTTCTGACGCATTCCCGGCGGTCACCTTGACCACATCCGGAGGAGTAGGGACGATTTGCAGAAACTTACAATTGTTGGCTATTGCAGTGTGTCAAGAAAAAGTTGGTTGTAGCATCTCATTTTACAAATCAGAATTTTTAGATACACTCACTTCCAAAAGTTAAGCACGAAGATGTAAAATGCGAAAAAATCAACAAATACTGCTTTGATTGACACATAATTCGGCAGGAAAGTAGCATATATATTTATGCATAAAACAAAATCAATAATTTTATACAGAAATGAAAACAATATTAAATTTTTGTAAGTTATCAGATAATGACATACTGGAGACTTAAACAGAATTATGTATAAAGTGAAAATAAACAGCATAAAATGTAAAAACAGGACATTAATAGGGTATGTGATCCCCCTCATCTGTATACAAAGTTTACACTTTGTGACCAGTCTTTCAATTAGGTGGTCAACCACCGCAGAATTAAGCAATCGCCATTATTCTTGTAGAGCAGTTTCCAGCTTAATAAGAGTGGCTGGAGGTAAAAAACGTGAAGATACAGCACGGCCGAGAGCATCCCAAAGATTTTCAATGGGATTAAGGTCGGGCGAATATACTGGCCACGCCATACGCTCAATCGCTTCACTCTCCAGGTAGTCATCGACGATGTCAGCTCTATGGGGACGTGCGTTATCGTCTATTGAAACAAAAGTAGGGCCTACTGCTGCAGCGTACAATCTCACAATGGGTTCTAGGACTTCATCTCGATACCAGACAGCCGTCAAAGAACCCCGTTTAAAGATGTGCAGGTCGGTGCGGTATCCTAATGAAATCCCTGCCCACACCATGATGCTTCCGCCTCGGAATGCGTGATGTTTTGGGACTGATTGCGTGTTCATTGTTCACGCCATATCCTTATACGCTTGTCATCTGGCTCCAGAGCAAATCTTGACTCATCAGTAAACATGACATTGCCCAGTCAGACACATTCCAATTGATATGTACCCGGCACCACTGTAATCGTACCTCTCTTGATTGGACGGATAGAGGAACACAAACCGAGGTACCTGGGCGTACAGTCCACTCATATGTAATCTTCGGTGTACAGTAGCTGTAGATATCGCCTTACCAATGGATGTCACACGTGTGGAGGTCGATTCCGCTTGGCTACAATAGCAATATATCGATCTTCCGCGAGGGTTATATCCCTTGGGCGACCGGCTACGGGCCTTCGGACCATTGTCTGTGTTTATTTTTAATTTATAATTTCCTTGTTATTGCAAACATATATGAAACTAAACAATGAAAATAAATATGTACTTAAATATGATAGTGAAAATCATAAATTCAAACGTGCATATTTATAACGTTTTTCTTAACATCTCTTTCTATGATATCTTAACACATATACTTCATTATTATTCCTACGCTCTTGAATAATATTTAATTACCATGATCACTTTATTTAAAAAATATTGTTTCTAAAATAGGTAGCCTTTCTTTACATATTTTACTCTGAATAATATACAAAGTAGCAATTTAGGTACTTTAAATTTCGTTCTTTGTTAAATAGTATACAATGAAACTTAATTTTTTTCATTTATCATGACATTTTGTTGTCATAAATTTGTAAAATATTTAAGCCATGAAAACAAAACATATTTTAATTACAAAAAAACCTAAATTCTGACACTCATACAATAATAATAAGATCATATACATATAATAAGATCATGACTTAACAAGCAAATACATATGACAGTAATTTAAAAAAAAATACAAACTATGAGGTGTTTGGACTTACAAATACTATAAGGAAAGAAAACATAAAACTGTACTTTACGATTCCTATCATAAAAATACTTATGGCTTTTTTTTTTTTTTTTCTGTTGTTGCTTTGTAACAGAAAACTTACCGTCAGCTAAAACTTTTGAATAATAGTTTAAAAAAATATTTGGAAATGTGTTCAATATTTTCATGACAATATAAAGAATTCTCAGTTGCAAAACTGGCTAATTTCATTACCAAGTAATCCACTATTAATTATGTGCACTTTTAAAAGTGAAATGAAAACTAAATTTTGATTTTCACATTTCTGACAATGCGTTCAATATTTTTTATATGAGAACTCAAAAAATACAGTAACTATGGATTATAATATTAAATATTACTGCGGATGATTTTTTAAGACCACCTCTATTTATCATATCTAAATATTTGCACTTATCTTTGGTTTATGCTGTTTGACATAATGGAAGTTTGTTATAATCTTTTCCTTCAATCAAAAGTTATCCAAACTTAATAATTTCTTTATAAATTACCTGCAGAAGTTTCAAACAATGTACACAGTAACCAGCTGTGTATATTAAAACTTACAGTTCATTCATTAATACATTTAAATTCACATCTGCATATCATCAAATACAATAAGATCACATATCACTAAATTTGTAACACATGCTGATTCATCAAAAATGCACTTAATTGGCACATTTTCCAACATACATTATTGTATTGTTACGTTATTTTCTTCCTTCACGTTCGTACGGGGTTCGTAGATTTGGAGTGAATAACGACGACACTCGCTAGACGAGGCACACACAACAAATGACTGCAGACCAGCAGGGTTTTATATAGCTTTCGACTTGCGTTTGAGAACATTGTGGGCTAAACTGGTAAGAATTCGTTCCAGAAAGTTCTCCATCCGTCCATGGCATACCGCCAATTTTGTCGCCAAATGGGCGATTTCTCGCCAAATGTGGCAACCATGCCTTCCTTTGCTATTTTATGGCAACCCTAAACCTGCTTTGCGGGAAGCCATGCGCCTATACATTTCGTAACAATATGTTAAACTAAGTGCAAATGTAGTGCTAATGGACTTTTAGTTTCGTCTTTTAATATCGGTCGTTTTCCTGGAATTCTCAAAATCATCTCATGTTTATCCGTGAAGACATCTCGTACAATCATGTTTTCGCCGTAAAAATGCTTTTCGCAAACAACATCTCTTTTAGATGAAACGAAATACGCTCGAATAATCATTCAGCAGCACAAATGCTTTTCGAATCATCCTTGGAAATTTGTATAAATTCACGTAACTCTGTATTGCAACATAGAGTTAGACTTTGGTACACAACAGTGACAAGATACCAAAATAAGGTCTTGCTACGGATGGTTAGTAGCAAGACCGAGCTTCGAAAAATGATGGCTGGAAAAGATGACTCATTCCTGAGCTGATGAGTGTCACGACCTTTGTCCTTCACGAAGGCAACGGACGAGTTCACAGCCTCAGATTATGAAAGTCATATGCTCATCAGTCAAATTCTTAGAATGAAATGGAACTTACTTGACTATGCAACTCATATAGACTCGGTATCATTCTGCAGAGTGGACTCCCATTTTGTTGTTTGCCAATTTGGTGTCCTTTCAAATTGTTTATGCAGTGAATCCTTTCGCGAAGAACACATTCCTAATACGCCATCTCTGAAAATGACTAGTAGTTTTGAAAAATAAATAAGCTTCGATATTGAACATTCCTTCTCCAATAAGATTATCAGCTATGTAAAAGACGAAGATCATCTGAACCGTGAGCCGTCATTTCTTGAGACGGTTCACTGTATTTTTAATTATTATCCCCCCATTCACTAATGAGGTTCTGAAACAGAGGAAATGATAAACATGATGAAACCAATTAGATAGCTCATGTGTGTGCTTATTCATACGCAAATCAAGTAGTTAATGAAATGGATAAGAAATTGAAAATGCAACTCATCAGTTAAAGCATTTTGAAATCAATAAAGTATTTTAAGTTTTAAAACTTCAATAATTAAATGATCCAGATTAAAATGTAAAATTTATTTTAGTTAACACGCTGTTTTTAATGCTGAATCTTTCGTATACTTTCAATGCTTCGTCTGGTCCACCAGATTATATTAAATGAAAACTGAGTTTTAAATATGAGCTAGAATCTAAATTTATGAGAGTGGATTGGCAACCTCAGCCTGCCACAGTGAACCTCCTTTGTTACTTTCTAACTAACTTACCAAGCCTCACGGATTGGAGGAAACGGCGTTCGCCAAAGTCCTCATCTTCTTTCTTCTTGCTTAAAAGCAAGATTGCTAAAGATTCTATCTCTAACACCATTATTACCAGCTGATGAATGAGTCTCTGATTGAAATTAAGTTAGTAGCTATAGTGGAATAGCATAGCCAGGCTTGTTAGGTTTTAAGTTAAGTTGTAAATACTTTGAATCACGGTGTCATTACAGTGGCAAATAAATTTGTAATCGTTTAAATTCTATAATATGGAAGATGGATTGGGAACGTCAGCCCGCCACGGTGAAACTTCTTTTGTTACTTTCTGTCTTTAACAGCATTACCAGCTGACGAATGAGTCTCTAACTGAAAATTAAGTTAGTAATTGTAGTGGAATTGCAAGGCGAGGTTTTTAGGCCTTTAAGTTAGCTTGTAAATACTTTGAATCAACGTGTTAATCCATTTGCAAATGAATTTTTAATCATTTGAATTCTATAACTTCAAGTTTAAATTTAACTAAATCTTTTATTTCTAGTTCAGTGTTGTACTTAATTAGTGTTGACAAGTAACGACAGAACGATAAATTAACTGGCAGTATAAGAAAGTTAGACTAACTAAAGTTAGTGTTTAGTATAAATTAAATTGAGTTTAACATTATAAAATATTACTTAATAAACATCATTAATAATCTTGACTATAATTACTACTGTACAGCAAATGAAATTTTATTTCTAAGCTTTTATTCGTATTTTGGTTTTATAGATGACACATATTTTAATTTATTGTGATTCATCTCTTGAACAGAGCGTTTTCTCATCATTTTGTAACCTTCATTCTGTCTTATCTTCATTCTGTCTTATCTCTTATTTTCTAAAACGTGCCATCTGTTTATGTTTAAGAAACCGCAATCTGTTCAGAGTATATGTTCTACTTCCCCTTTTGCCGGCTTTCGAAGGAGAACTAGGTAAAGGGTCGGGCACCCTTATTCAAGTCATTACACACTGGAATTACAAGTCTATCTGCAGAGGGCCAAATTCTCTGTACCAAAGACTTTCTTGCCATAGTAAGTAAAATATGAATGGTCAGAATACACAGCACTGTACTGAACATACTGTTGCAAATACTCAACTTTCGCATTTATTTCTTTATAATGTTTATGTAGTTTTGTAATATTATATATAGTTTTGATTTATTTATTTACTTTATTAATACATTTTGTGCATTAATTTTATATTTGTTTAATGTGTGTTGAAAGTTATTACAGGTATTACCTTTCAATAAATCTCGAATGGTGACTTTCTTTACTAATTTTAATAAAATTTTAGGCTAATTGGAATACATAAAGGTAGATTTTAATAAAATATCTATGTAAAGAATGATAAGCAACTTTAATCTGCCTTAAAAGCATTTGTAATTTCTCTTCATTCCTCTCTCTCTCTTTTTTATTTTAATTCTTTTTTAGATCATTCACTGGTGGTTAAAACTAAGGTATTTTCGATCTTCTTTTCAATCTGAATGTATTATTTTGGCCGCTACTTCTAGAAAAATTCAAATCTGCACAAACGATTACATAGTAATTGTTTGTATTTTGAACCTCCTTTAAGAATTTTAATGAACTGCCTAAACTTCAGATGATGTCTTAAAATAAGCTTGTTGAGGTTTTGATTCCACCATTCTACAATATTTTTTATTCTATGCTTCTCCTATAACAATTTCGCAATTCCACCGGAATAATTTTGTTATCCAGCTGCAGACAGAACAAATTTACAACGAATTCTCTTAATTTATGTTCCTTTGGGCAATATTCTATCATTAGTCATCCTTCATCGACGAGTTATTGAAGTACTTGGGGGCTGCGGACTACGGTAAAGCAACCGATGGTTCTATACTTAAGGGGGGAAACAAGTGTTTTCATAAGATTTTTTAATGGAACTATCTCGTATTCACATTATAAACAGGAAAATTTATGAAAACTCCATTGCAAACCGCGTGTTCGTCCAGATTTTAACCCCCGTCGAATTACCAATAGTCAGCCTTTTTACTACTCAAACCCACTAGCAGCTAAAGTCACTTTAACTGGTAGTTAGAACTGGGCTCGATTTCGGCGAACGAGTTGGCTGCAAAGGAGTTTTTTTTTTTTTGACTATCGTACATGTAAGACGTACATCTGCTCGCTCCTGATTTTGTGATATTAGAACTCTTCTTTTATTATACCTGATCAGAGTGCATGCCGCTGTAACAGTAGGTCGTCATTGCAATAGACTCTGGTTGCTTTCTGCGCTGCTTCATTTTCTGCCATCCGCTCCACCATGGATCGAATGATTGATTTTATTGCCTCTGAGATTACCAACTTAGAATGCATCAAAGAAGCTGATGGATCTCTCTCATCTAAGGACGCACGAGACCTTAAATTCCTTCGACGCCTCAAACTTTTCATTGACAGAGAACTGAACGCTGATCGTTCTTCTACTTCTCTTCCCAAACCAAACATCCCTGCTCCTAAGGTTAATGACAGTGATTCTTCAATAACTGGAATCAACAAAACTAATGTCAGACGAGCCAGCAGCCCTGCGCGCTCAGATGAAGAGCAGTCGAAAAAATATAAAGCACTGAATGAAGACAGCTCCGACACGGACTCAGGTCCTAAAGGAGATTTTACTAGAAGACTAAGAAAATCCTCTCGAAAGTCTACTCTGACGGATTCCTCTGTTTTGTCAGAAGTTTCGACAGCTGAGCCGACCACGGAAATAACTTATGATAATATGGATACAGCCCCAGACGTGGATAATATGGATACAGCCCACGCTAATGTGGCGCCATCTAGTGAGATCCCCGAAAAGCCGGCTGCGAGTACGTCTCAGACGGAAAGCATGGTGCGGCCTATCGGTGCTGCAGATGAGGTCACGTGCCCGGCTGGGCTAATAGGTGATGCTCATGATCATGAAACTGGTACCAATTCTGCCGAAAATAATGAGCAGGATGTGGATAAATTCATACATCCAAATAAAGTGAGCAATAAAGCTCCCCCGATTATTATACAGGATGGTAAATACTCCTGGTCAAAATATAAGGAAATGTTTAAAGATGCAGGAATTAAGCTAAAATCAGGTATAATGAAAGCTCAAGACCACTATGAGCTAAAAGTTGACAGTATAGAAACTCATAAGAGTTTAACTGCATTACTTAATGCCAAAGGAGTGAAATATCACTCATTTATTTTACCCGAAAACAAGAAGGTTAAAGTTGTTATACGCAGCTTACCGATCGACACGCCAACCTCAGAGATATCTGATGAACTGATAGATAGAGGTTTCCCAGTTGAACGAGTCTCGCAATTAGTAAGACGCAGAAATGGAGAAAAATTTAATCTGCCCCTGTTTCTAGTTATTTTGAAGAGGAATGAAAAAGCGAGAGGGATACATAATATAACTAAATTATGTTTGCTGAATGTTAAAGTAGAAGCTTACAAAGGAAGGAAAGGGCCGGTACAATGCTTTCGGTGTCAAGCATTTCATCATGCCCAGGCAGGATGTATGCATGACCCGAAATGCATGAAATGCGCTGGCGATCATTATTCAAAAGACTGCCCCAAGCCAAGAGAAGATAAACCTAAGTGTATAAATTGCCAATTAGATCATACAAGCAACTACAGGGGTTGCCCGAATTTTCCCAAAATAAATACTCAAAATCCGCCTTTGAAGAATTTCAGTGATAGAGTAATTATCAATAAATCTTATGCCGCCGCTGTTGGCGGGCAAACAATGAATACTCTAGATGAAGCTAGAAGTATTTTTGAAGGGCTTAAAAACCTTGTTGAGGCTATTAAGGCTTCCGGCATTCTACAAGTAAATTTAGCTCCTAGCGCCAAATGCTAGTAGTTTCAACGCGGTCAATAATGAACCCAATCATGGATAGGAAAGATAATAATTTTAGGCCAATCAAGATGTTAGTGTGGAATGCTAACAACATGAGAGGAAAGAAAGATGAGTTGGAGGACTTTATGTATGAGAACGACATTGATATTTGCCTGATCTCCGAGACGCACATCACCCCAGGAGACAGAGTTAGCATCAAAAATTATAGAACCTACCGATGTGATAGGTTACATCACAGAGGAGGTGGAGCACTCATCTACGTTCATTGTAAATATTCATCTTGTTTAATTTCGACTGAAAGAGACAAGGGCTATGAAATTGTGATTGCCTCTATTAGCTTGCCTAAGATTGGAGATACCTTATTTGCGGCAATCTACAACCCCCCTACTAATAGGCTAACTGAGGAAATGTTACAAAATATTATTCCGGATTCCTTCAATAATGATTGTTGGTGGCGACCTCAATAGTAAGCATAAAGATTGGGGCTGCCGCAGCACCAATCACAATGGTAAAGTACTGAGAGAGTATATCAGTAACCACCCAGTTGGTATATTTGCGCCTGACGTACCGACGTTCAGGCCCAGCAACATCAGGTACACTCCTGATATTCTAGATATCATCTTGACTAATACAGGAATTAATATGGTGCTGGAGGTTCGAGACGACTTAAGCTCTGATCATACTCCTGTGATTGCTACACTAGGGGTCACCAGTATTAATTATACGAATGTTAAGACCCATACCGACTGGAGAATGTACCACAATGTTGTGAAAGTGAGGCTCCCTAAATTAGGTGCTATGAAAAGCCCTTCTGATATTGACAAGGAGATTGATAAGTTTACTACATGTCTTAATGACTCTTACTATGAGGCCACCAAGGTTACTCAAAGGTCTTGTAAAATCGCTAAGATTCCAAGGTACGTCAAATCTCTCATAGCCGAAAGAAACAGGCTGCGAAGGAGGTATAATATCACCTGGGACCCAATTATTAAAACGGAGTTAAATAGGATCAGTAAGCATATTAAGCTTGAAATGCATAAATTAAAGTGTGAGGCTTGGAATGTTAAAATGGAGGAGTTAAACTTAGACAGTGATGCCTTCTGGCAGTTTACAAAAATGTTAAAGAGGACGCATCAGTGTGATAGGCCAATTATTGCCAACGGCGTGACTGCTTATTCAGATACTGACAAATGTCAGATTTTTCGCTTCACATCTTGAAAAGCAGTTTTCTCCCAATCAGACACCTCGTAATATTCACTTTGAGACCCAAGTCAGAATGAAAGTAGAAGAATGGCTAGGTGCTCCCACGGCTCTAAATGCCGATGGTTTAACTAATCCAAGAGAAGTTACGGATATTATCTCCAAATTGAACCCCAAGAAAGCCCCAGGTATTGATGGAGTTACAAATTTAATGATCAGGAACCTCCCGCGCGGTGGAATCACAAGACTTTCCAGCATTTTTAATATATGCATTACGTTATGCTACTTCCCGGACTGCTGGAAGTACGCAAAAGTTTTCCTACTACCGAAGCCTGCAAAAGACATCACTAAGGCGGAAGAATCACAGGCCCATAAGCTTGCTCTCTAATATAGGCAAGATCTTTGAACGAATAATTTTAAGGAAATTCCAGCCTTATTTACAGGTACTTCCGGAAGATCAGTACGGATTTAGGAGCGAACTTTGCACATCTAAACAACTGATTAGGCTTGTGGAATTTATCGGCTCTGCTCTGCATCATAAGAGTTGTACTGCAGTGCTCATGCTGGACGTGGCCAAAGCATTTGACCGTGTCTGGCATGAGGGCTTAATATATAAATTGATAATGATGAATTTGCCTAGAGAACTGATCTTACTCACCAGATCTTATATTGCAAATCGTTACTTTACAGTTAGCTGCAAGCAAAGTCATTCTGGATACAAAACTATCGCTGCAGGCGTCCCCCAGGGGTCCTGTCTTGGCCCAGTACTCTATCTTTTCTATGCGGCTGATTTCCCGCGGGATAAACTCAACAGAAATACATTGCTGGCCTGCTATGCGGATGACACCGCTGTAGCGGTCAGATCTATTCAGCCTAACAGGGCAATTTCTGTTATGCAGGATATATAATTATGGACATTGAGGAGTGGTGCTCCAGGTGGAAGATTTCCATCAATGCGACTAAATCACAGCTACTTCTTGTTAGAAGGAAGAAAAT